TTGGAAATCTCTGTTCTGCCCCCAAAGGTGACTCTGAACACAGTGAGGACTGCACTGAGACCAACAGGAACAGGCTTTCTTACCACCCAAAGGGAATTAAAAATGCCCAAAAGCTGTTGTAGCAGGCCCAAAGGAGGAAAAGGGGGGGGAAATGGAGAAAATCATCCTTCCCTGTTCCCCCCTGAGACGAGGTATGGTTATTAATGGACTTCAAAGGGCAGAAGAGCAGCACTGGATACACATCCCAAAGTGCCCTCATTGCCCTTGGTGTTGCTGTGTCATGAACTCACCTCCCACAGTACAGCAACAAAGAAATGCTGATCCCTGTCCCTGCTCTGTAAAAGGTCACCCCGAGGAGCACACACAGGAACAGAGCCAGGGTCAGGTACCAACCCACATGGACAGACCAAGCACCACTGTCACCAGTGGCCCTGGACTATTACAGCAAATGCTGAGATCAAGTTTGTTTCCAAACCACTCTTTTGTGGTTGTGCCCTCATTGTGCCTCACACTGGGACCCAAGTGAGGTTGTCTGGGTGTAGGAATGTTACTTCCAGATTTATTGCTCCCACTGAAACCACTCTAATCTATGAGCCACTTGCTCACTTCTCCACCTCCCCAAGGCAAGAGATTTGGGAGTACAAAAGGTGAAGATCATGGGTTGAGATAGGAACAATTTCCTAGAAAAAAGTGAGGAGAGAAAAAACCCAGTAACAGCAATAGTATCAATAATGAAGAGAACTGTGATGGCTCCCTCAGCTCCAATTGGCACTTACCTGTCACTCCCAGCCCGAATCCAACAACCCTCTCCAGCTCTCTTGCAGCTCCCTTCAGCTCTTCAAGATACTGAAATCAGTAACATTTTAAGCAGAGAAAGATCAAATATGTCACTATTAAATCATGCAACTACAACTGCAATACTATTTCAAATAGCTAAACTATGATTTATGTAGGTATGTGAATTCCAGTGTTAATCCTATTGTGTTCACTTGAGAAATCCAGCTTTGAAAGATTATTTTTTTCTGACATATTGAAATCATCAACCAGAACCAGTACTCACATAATTTCCCTCGCTCCCTTCCTGAATCAACAAAGCTTACCAAGTTGTACTGCAACAGCTCCTTGACAGATGAGTTTATTGAAGCAATTTTTAAAAGCAGGTGTTTCTGAGTGTGCCCCATCCATCTCACCTGTTCAAAAAACCAACTATCCAGTGTCTCAAGGAAGTGTCCATGTTACCAATGGTATGTGTTTAATATACTTTTATATCACATGCCATAAGCATAAACATTGTAAGTATGCAGATTATTTGCTACAGTTCCCTGAAAAAAAGGTGGGCACACATTGAGAAAAGCTCTTAACCCAGGGCTATTACAGCTCTCCACCTGCCTTGGACCCCAAGATCAAGGCACTAGTGTTCTCATCTGTAGCAACAGATTTTTGAAGTCATTTTCACCTACATTTAAATTAAACACCTTGGGGTTTTTAGGACTACACTTAGATGATATTTAGTGGTGACAGGAATGACTGATTTGTCTTCCCAAACAAGCTGTGGGTCTGCTGGTAGGTAAAACTAGCACTGGGAGATAAAAGAAACAGTGGGAAGGATTCCACTGATTGACGAATGGAAAAAGATATTTATTTTTACAAATAAAATTAGGTTTCCTGATAAATGAAATTAGACACTGAAAGATATAAGAAACAATGGGGAAGAAAAACTCCTAAATTCTGTAAGAATTAAAAATTAAAGGGGAGGATTATACATCAGAGGAAATCTTCAGTATCAGGCTGGGGAGTCTGTACCTCTCCAGCACCTCAGCCGATGGGGAAAGAGAGAAGGGAAATGTGCCCAGGAAATCAGGATAAAAAGGAGGCTGCGTCCTCCAAAAATTTGAGACCCCAGGGGAATGACCTCTGCCTTTGTTCGAATAAAGCCAGAAAGAATTCCTCGGTCTCCTTTTTGGACATAAACCTCTGGTGTTTGTGGATTAATTTTCCTAACAGTGGGAAGTGTAACATTTTAATATTTACAATATAAATACTTCAAAGGTTTCAAAATACCTTCATTTTGCTCCATATCTTCAGCCACTCTAACCTGAAGAAATAGGTTCCATGAATGACGTTACAAAACAAAATGAAATAAACAAAGCAAGCAAACAAAAAACCAAACCACCTCCCCACCAAGTGGCACAACTTAAGCAATTTAGAAAAGGAAGGAGGGTCCAGAATTCAGAGCTAAACCATTAGTTCTACAAAATGAAAGGTGTTTTCAGCTTAGGAAGTGACACCATCTACACATGCACAATAATCACAAATTCTCAGTGTTTGTCTGTATTAAAAAAAAATACTTCACCATTTATCCAGATCTTCCTTTTGAAGAACAGTGGTAAGAGTTCAATATTCTGAATGCAAATCACTTTTTGGTTACTCCAGCTGCTTTTTAAAGGTCAGGATCCACTTCAATGTGCCCCTATTCTTCAACTCATGACTTTTCACATATTTGAATGTTTTACCAGCCCTTTTGACCAATAATACGATCATTTTATTTTCAAAATAAGTATTTTTTAGCAAATGAAAAGCTTATTGCAACAGTACAACATCTCTATATCCAGTGTGAAAGCAACATGGTGGTATAAATATATGCATCATTGTATTACACAGAATCTATTATACACATTCCAGTTAACCATGGAACAATCAACAGGAGTAGATGACCACTGATTATGGGCACAAAGTCTTTTTGTGAACAAGATTTTGAGAAACTTGAGGAAAAATCCTGTTTCTGGAAAGATGACAATCTTGGGATTCCATTTTTGTTTTCAATGAAGTCAATGATTTTTATTTTTAAGGATGCTGTATATAAGAATGCACTTTGTATTAAAACAAAGATCAATACTTTACAGTTTAAGAAACTTTACATATGTACATAAATTACATATCAGGAATGGTTTTAAAGCTCAAAATGAGTGGTGGGAAAAGTCTATTTTCCTTCTATTAGAATCTTGAACTCTTTTACGTTGTGATCATTTGCAACAGTAACAGCATGATCCAGAGCTCGGACACTTGCTAGAAGCTTTATGATCTGCTTGATGTGCTCCCTAAAAAAAAGGCAGGAAAAGTCAATACAGAAACAGAGCAATCAATGGCATTGATTAATTTTCCAACAGAAGACTACATTATGGAGTCATATATTTCATATTCCTGTTGCAGATTTATTATATTGGTTAATGGAGGTAATGGCAACAGATTTGTTAATGCTGTGAAAAAGCAAGACAGAAGACAGAAATCAAATTAGAACCTGCTATGAATACAGGATAATTGGATGTTTCTCTTCCAATAAAAATTTTTACCAAGTTATCATTTCACCTGGTGAAGAAAGTTCTTTCAAATTTAGAAACACACCAGCAAAACAAGAGATTTCAAAAACTTAAATAAAATTAAATCCCAAACTGTTACACTGAAACACAGCACTGTACCAAGACTGTTCACTCCTGCGCTGTTGCTGCTCCCATTGGCCAGCAGTAACGTGTCTAATGCAAACTTTTAATTAAGCTGATCATTGGATTCAAATAAAATTACTCTTGGATCTCAGGCAAAACAGTTTCATCTAGTTGGCTGTGTAAATAGTCAGAACTTTTGAACTGTTCACAAAAGACAGTTTGGAATTTAGAAGCCACTACACAGGAATCAGCAACAGGCTCACAAGGTGAAACACTCCAAACATGGTAGCTACAAAACTTGGCAGAATCATGGAATGCTTTGGGTTGGAAGGTACCTTAAAGCTTATCTCAGCCCAGCTCCCTGCCATGGACAGGGACATTTCCAGCACACCAGGGTGCTCAGAGCTCCATCCAACCTGGCACAGAACATTGCTAGGGACAGCCACAGCTTCTCTGGACAGCCTGTGCCAGGGCCTCACCACCTTCACAGCCAAGAATTCCTTCCCAATATCTAACACAAATATCTCCTCCTGCAGGTTTAAAGCCACTCCCCCCTGTCCTGACAGTATCTGCTCATGTAAAAAATGCCTCTCCCTGCTTTTTATAAACCCCCTTAAGAATCCAGGACACTAAGCAGTAGTGCAAAATATATTATCAGTGTTCCAGTATTTCCAGCAGTTGCTATATTCAGACATCTTAAAAATATCCATTTCTGACATGTGAATTCAAAGCAGTTTCCAAAGACACACAGCAGGATGGAGAGTTACCCATGTTTGCATCCACTGGCAAAATAAATCAAATCACAAGAACTCAAAGTAAGTTACCTGGCATTTCTCTTCTCTACATCAGAGCAACCAATGCTGTTTCTGTAAATTGTATCAGCCAGGTGAACAAGGTATCTACAGAAGTTTTCTAGCTGAGAAATAGTCTTGTCTCCCGTTAGATTAGTGAACCACTGCTTAGGGAAGCAAGCAATTACCTATGAAAAACAGGAAAAAGGAAGTTAAACACAATGTAACAAAATTTTTAAAGCTATGTAAGATGTATAACTTCTGAAATTTGCCTAGTAAGATTGCAGGGATAAGGCCCAGCTGAGTGAAAAAGGGAGAAAACTACAAAAAAAACCCCACACCAAAATCCAAGCAGTAAAGCACTGAAACCCAGAGTATACCTAATCCATCTACAGGCATGAGCCAGAGAAGGTTCTTTCTTTACACTGTACACTATACCAAAAAAAACCCACACCCATTTTTCACTGACTACAGCTTTTGAGGTATCAAAGCCAAGATTTCATAGGCAATATCAAGTTTTATCTATATTTTCCTTTCAGGAAAATATAAAAATCCATTACTTTAAACACTGCTTGATTTTACTTACACTTTGAGCTTTCTTAATGCTGTCCTCTCCATACTCTGAGTTTTGAAAAGCCATAAGAATGTATCTATTTAGCAACCCATCTATGGACAGCTCCTGTAGAGTTTTGTTTGAGAGGATTCCATACCACTGGAGAAAGTTTCCCAATAACTAAAAATACAACACAGGGAAAGTAATTATTCCAAAATGCACTGAAACCAGGAAGTTGATCAAACATATCAAACATTTTAAAATATTTTAAATGTTTTGTAAACCTATTCAGAATACAGTCTCCCTTGCTGCTGCCATTTGAACAGAAAATTCCAGAGAAGAATTCTGTCTGTGTGATCATGGAGAGCAGTTGTTCAATCAACATCAGTCTCTACTTTTCTGCTTAGCTGAGAGTTAATTTTCTTCACATTCTTTTATTGGAAATAAACTATGACAGCCACAGCTTTGAGCTCCCACATTCCTCAAAAGCAGTGTATTTTATTCTGACAAGCACAAGGATATAAAAAACCTGGAGTGAGTGAGCTAAATGACCCCATAACATTAAAGTTGAAATGATGGTGCTTCCACTTGACAACCTCTTCAACTACAAAACCAATTAGGTTGGAAAAGACCTCTGAAATTATGTCCGCTCTTAGACCAAACACCACCTTGTCAACTTGACCAGAATATGGAGCGCCATGTCCATCTTCAAAAACCCCTCCAGGGATGTGACTCCACCACCTTGCCAGGCAGTCCATCCCCATGGTTAATTATCCTTTCTGTCAAAAAATTCTTCCCCATGTCCATCCTGAAGCTCTCCTGGCAGAGCTTCAGGACATTTCCTCTCATCCTGGTGCTGGCTGCCTGGAAGCAGAGCCAGACCCCCCTGAGCACACTCCACTGTCCTGTCTTCACCCTTCCCCACAACTCCAACTCAGCTGCTCCTCCCAGGACTTCTCCTCTAGACCCCTCTCAGCTCTGTTCCCATCTTTGGACATGCTCAGCCCCTCAATGCCTTCCCTGAAGTGAGAGGCCCAGAGCTGGACACAGCATTCGAGGTGTGGCCCCAGCAGTGCCCAGCACAGAGGGACAATCCCTGCCATGGTCCTTCAGGACACACCACTGCTGGCACAGGCCAGGTGCCCTTGGCCTTCTTGCTCACCTGGGCACAGCTGGCTCACCTTCAGCTGCTGCTGACCTGCACCCCCAGGGCCTTTCCTGCCCAGTGGCTTTCCAGCCACTCAGCCCCCAGTTCTGGGGTTACTGTGGACAAAGTGTAGGGACCCAGCAGTTTGCCCTGCTGACCCTAATCCCACTGGCCTCACCAGTCCAGGTCCCTCTGCAGAGCCTCCCTGCCCTCCAGCAGACCAACACTCCTGCCCAACTTGGTGTTGTCCACAAATTCACTGAGGGTGCAGATCAGCAATAAGGATATAAAACAGGACTGGGCCCAAAAGTGAGCCCTGGAGACACCTCTAGTGACTGGACAACCATGAAGAGGGCACAGTGTGTTATCAAAGACTAAGAATCCAGAGCTGGAGGTTTTGCAAGTGAAGTTGAAGCAGTTTCCATCTACTGTTTTCCATAAATTTGAGGAGGATTTTATTGCTACACTGTCTTAGACCAAAGATTTACCAGACATATTTACTGACTTACCTTAACAGAGGACCAAAACTGACGTTGGAAAAACAAATATGGACCAGAGTTCTTGTTTTCTAAGATGCTGGAAAGTAAGACATTTCTTTAATGAGTAACCAAAACTACACCTCTGTCTTGAATTTGCTGGCTTTTTCCTTCCAAGACACAGTTCATTTCCATAAATATTCCCTTTCATCCTCCTTGTCTCTGCCAAATGCTCCCAGAAGGACAACAAAAGATCTCCTGCACCCAGGCACTGAACAACACTGGGAAAAACCCCTCTTAACTATGGACAAACAGTGACTGTCTAAGAAAGGTCTAACACCATAGCTGAAAGTAAACTTACTTTTTTGGATACAAGGGCATGAATACATCATCATCTAGTGTTCTCCTCATTCTTAGCAACAAGGCCTTTAAAAGCATCTGAAACAAGTAATTTTGTTTTAAATGTCCAGTGCATTGCTTAGTAGTTAAACACTCAGAAACTGATTTTTAAAGCAACAAAGAACACTTGTGACCATAACAGTAAACATCCATACATATTTGAGCATACAAATAAATAGTCTTAAAGAAGTCTGTAATAATTAACAGAGCAGAAATTTGACAGTTTCAATTAAAACTTGAACTCTTATTACCACTTCCTTCATTCACAGAAGGCAAGTAAAACAACTCAATTTCCAGGCAATACATTTGAAAAGGCTGCAAAAACCTAAAAAAGAAAAGCCCAAGTACTTGTAGCCATCCCTTACAGCAAAACTTGAGACCAGCAAGTCTTACTACATCTGGTGTATTTTTTTATCTCTAGTATGTATTTTGGGAAGGCTTAATTGAGTTTCTTCTTTTAATTTATCACCCTACTTTACTCTCCACAATCAGACTGCAGAGCACCAAATAATTTTAAATTTTTTTTCTTGCTGTACTTTCCAACATAAGGTATTAAAAATGTATTCAACTTCCTTAACTAATGCAACATATTTTTAAAAAATCCAACAATTTACCTGTGTATTTTTGTTTTCTGCATTCACCACTGAGGGATATCCATCTATTAGTTTCTGTACAATTGCTACCATTCTAGATGTCTGTGTGGTAGAGAAAGGATCCCAGATATTTTCAGAAATTACTGAAAGAGATTAAAGAATTACTCCACTTTGCAAATATTCAAATACAGTAATTATTATACAAATAATAATTTGAGTATTATACAAATAATTATTTGAGTATGATATACTCAAATTCATGCAATTATTTACAAAACAGTAAAATCTGAAAGCACAAACAAGCATCAGATTCCACACCTCCCTCCCTCCCAATTTTAAGCCTGTAATTACCTGTTAATTTAGGAAGAACAACTCTCTCTACAATGGTAGGCAACAGTGAAATATCAGCATCATCTTTCACCTGCTCCTGCTCTTCACAGCCATAAAACAGCAATGACTCAAACCACAACATTGTTTCAAAATCTCGACACTTGCCCTAATAAAAAAAGAATTGGGGTTAGATTCCTAAACAAAGGTTTGAAGTTAACACATAGAAAAAAGTATTATGCATGCAAGTATGATACACCACAAAAACAGCTTTAAAACACTCTGCCAAATGAACCAATTCTTCCTACCAGCATAGCCACTAGATGTAATGAAAAGAGAAAATGGCTGAAGCAAGACTGATTTTTAAACAGTTTTTGCACCACGGATTTTAATTTCTACACCTAAACCAAACAAAAGCCTACAGATCAGGGTGTAAGTTGAAGTACAGCTCAATTGTGCTGCATTTTAAAATTATGCCTTCTGGATTTAAAAGGCCTTTCTATGAGCACCTTGTAATTTTTCTACCTCAACAAAATGCTTACCAGGATAATAACAGAGAGTAGTGAATAGAGTTAGATTTTACAATGCTGTACCATGTCTCCAACTAACAGGAGCTTTGTTTTGTCAACCTGAAAACTCAGAGAAATAGCATGGGGGAAATGAGAATGCACAAAAAATGTTTTCAATTTAATGATGGCATCTTTCTCAGATTTTTCCTTGTTTGAATGAAGTCAAACATCAAATTAATAAAATTATTTTAATACTCTGAACTTTCTCTGAAGAGAAGTCATGCCTCTCCTTTCTCTGCACTTGAAGAAGAGGTGAGAGAAAAACCCCTTCTCCAGATATTCTCTTGGTAGGTTAAGGGAAAAAAAAAGCACTCCTGAAAAAAGGAGGAACAGAGAGGGAGTCAAAAGCTACCTGAACTGTTTGTTCTGGTGGCATCTCATGAAAGCATTGATATCCAGGCTGGACAACAAATGTGTGCCAGGGATACTGGGCTGCCACACTGCTGTCCTGCCTTTCCCATGTTCCCTACATAATAACTGGGCAGTGAGTACTATGAGAAAGACTTGGAAATTGCCAGTCAGAATTCTACAGGGTATGGAGGTGTAGGTGAGACAGATACATAACCTAGAGAAACAGGTTGTAATTCCATGTGAGAACAAACTTCTTAGTTCCACTTCTGATGAAACAGCATTATCTAGAGTCACAATTTTCTCTGAAGTATTTTAAAGAATAATGTATTTTCACAGAACCAACAATGGTTTGGATTGGAAGGGACCTTAAAGATCATCTAGCTCCAACCCATTATCATGGGAAGCTGCAGATTTTTTGGTCTACACCACTTCCTGACAAAGTGCCAAATTTAACTCTGGCTTGCTGGGAACATAGTGAATCAACTAGTCCAGGCACTCTCTAGAAAAACTTTGCCCCAAGACAGGTGCCCATTTGAAACTTCATGCCTAGAACACACCTTTAGGAGAAGCACACATCAAAGGTGCAATTGACTTTGCTCCAGTGTGAAAGAACCACCAGGTAGCAGTTAACACAGAAGCTGCTTGCAGACAAGCTTACCTCCAAAGGAGTCCAGGTGAGCAGCTGAAGTCTGATTAAAGGGTTAAATAGCTTTGGTAAACAGAGGCCAATGTAAGCATCCTTGTAAGAAGCAAAGTACTTGGAGCGCCAAGCTTCAAACTGGGACTTGATGCAATCAATGGAGTAAAAACTTTCCAAAACATCTTCGAAAACTTTGCTGGATTCTTTCAATATACGATCTAGCAGGGGAGAAAAGGAACAAGAAGTTCATCACCTACTCCCTGTAATGCCTCTTTCAAGACATTTTTTGATGCTCACTGGCATAAGCTAACTCCCATAAATAAAATCAAAAAAACCCCCTCACCTTCAGAAGCTCTGTTACTCCTGCCTCAAACACACAAAGCTATAAAAACAGGAGCACAAATACTCTCCCATAGACTCATTTATCACAGGTCTCACTTTTAACATTTCATGGCAGGATTTTAAGTTACCAGATGTAATGAGGATTGTGACATACTGAGCTGTATTCAGAGTGGATCTAACTTCAAAGCTGGCCTTGCTTTGCATGGGGCTTTCAAACAACTGATCTCCAGGCCCCTTCCAACCCAGATTCTTCTACATCTTTGATAATCCAAGTGCAAATATGGGAGGGCATCTCAGATAAGCCAACTGAACTGGCAGTTCAGACAGGGTGAGTCCTGGCAGACACCATGCTAAAATGCTGCCCAGGACACACCTGTTGGCACTGGGTAGTGATTACAATCCTCTAGCACCTTTTTTTTTTTTTTTCCTAGGCAGTCCAGACCTTTTTCTCTGTATGTTATTTTCCCTTTATCTTTTCTACTTCATTTTAATCAGTCATATCTGCTGCAGCCACAGTTGTAAATGTTTGGTCACAGTAGTAACCCTTACACAATGAACACAACTAGCACACACAGCAGGCAGAGGCAGGGCTGAGGGAACAGGAGATTCTGTCATATAACCACACAGTTCAAACTGGGATTAAGAAAATACACTACATATAAAGTTATTGGGTCCAAAGTGCACTCTTTTATTCCACTGCTGCTTCTGGACTAACATGAGAACTACAAACAACAGTAAAAAAGCTTTACAAACACTATGCCTATTCAGAAACTGAAGAAATTTCTACAAAATGCTTTTGCATGCATAAATTGCCAAGTTACCAAGTGCAATCCTGCCCCACTGAATCTAGATAATTTAATTAACAAAGTTAATTACAGCACCTAACAACCCTGAACAGTTTTTCTGTTTATCCAAGACCCCTCCCTGCAGGAAGAAAATCAGTGCAATCATAAAATTGCAGTAAATTAGGTGTGGAAACTGTCTGCACCTCCAAAAGACCTAACAGCTAGGCAGATCATCTAAGTGCTTTTCTAGTTAGTATGTTCATACTTCAGGTCTCCACAACCACCTACATAAATGACTTTGCCATTTATTACCTTCTCTGTGGGAAATGACCTCTTTATTTTAAACCTCTCCAACCACTTAATTTCATGGCCCCCAGCTATCATACTGTGAAAAGTTGATTTTGTTCTACTTGGAGAGACCAAAACCGTTCAATCTCTCCTCAAATCCAAAACAAGCAATTCTATGTATGCAATCCTTGCTGGTCTCCTCCTCCTCCTCCTCACTTCTTCTAATCTGATTCTCTTTTAATCAGAGCAAATGCTAACTGTACCACAAGATCTTTCTGCAATGTTTGCATTCAACATTGCTTTCTATCATTTGCAAACTTTGCCAGGCTGCAACAAGACTGTACAAAAATTTTGTCATTGCATTTCTAGAAGCTTATTCACAACTCCACTAAATACTTGCCATGAACCAAAAAAGACTTCTAAAGCACTAAGTTTTTCAAAATTTCCCAAGTAGGAGAAACATGTATTTCAAGAATGATAAACTATTTTACAAATGGGAAGACTTACTGACAGTCCAAAAGCTTACTGCCTGCCAGCAAAAGCATGTTAGAATTAAATAAACAGAACTTCACTAAGGATGGCTTATTCAGTCAGCTGCAAGACACGCAACAACTTGGTGACAGAGACTATTCTGGTCACATTGATGATCCAGGAATCAAAAATCCCCAAACTCCCTCCAAAATCTGGTGAAGTATATAAACAGGGCTGTGTTTGAATCCTGTCAAATAAGTTGTTATGTAAGAGAATTGCGATTGTTCAGCCTGGAGAAGAGGCTTCAGGGTAACTTAATTGTGGCCTTAGAGTACTGAAGGGAGTTTGCAGGATGGGAGAGGGACTGGTTACAAGGGTCTGGGGTGACAGGACAAGGGGGAATGGCTTCCCACTGACAGAGGGCAGGGTTACAAAGGATACTGGGGAGAAATTCCTCCCCTGTGAGTGAGGGTGGTGAGGCCCTAGCACAGGTTGCCCAAAGCAGCTATGACTGCCCCATGTCTGAAAGTGTTCAAGGCCTGTTGGATGGGGCTTGGAGCAACCTGGTCTAGTGAAAGGTGTCCCTGCCCATGGCAGGGCAGTGGAACTGGGTGGGATTTAAGGTCCCTTCCAACCCAGACCATGCAGTGATTCTGTGACAAAGCTTGGGTAGCTTTTCTAACCTCGCTCCAGGTTGAAGTTTGTGATATCTGTTGAAGTCTCCTCGTCATCGCTGGAAAGGCCTTCCAGGTGATCTGCCATCTTCCCAGTCTGCTCTCTCGCTTGTCTGCGGCGAGCCCTGCAAAGGAGCAGCAGTACAAACCAGCTCCAATAAAGTAAGAGAAAGCAGCTGTTTTCCCCACCTAAGCCCACTCAGGCTTGTCCTTTTAGTTCTAGGAAAGTCAAGCTAAAAAGAACTTGTGCTATGCCATGACCTCAAGCATTCCCCTACATTGCTGCCTCAAACAGTGAAAAGAAACAAAACCGGCAGAGACCATACAGATGTGGACATATCTATATCTCTATTCCATATCTATATGGAAATATCTGTATCTATATTCCACATAGATATGGCTATATCTGTATCTATATTCCACATAGATATGGAATGCATTTCCTGTGCTTTCTTTTAGGGATTTTAAATCAGTATCATGGAATGTTCTGTACACTTGCACAGCAAGATTGGGTATATAAGAATACTCCTGCTCAGCAGAGCAGCTGAAGTGTTTTCTTCCCTCTTCAGGGAAGAAGCAAACATTGCCACCCATGTTAGTAAGTCATACAGGACAGTTATATCTTGCAAGCAGACAAAGACTCCTAAAGGAGGAAAGAAATCTCATTGTCTACCTTCTAGCCTCTCTTTCTGCAGTCCGACGCTTGACCTGTTCTTGATAGATCACTCTGTCTCGCCCAAAAGAATCAAGATTTGGAGCCATCAGTGCCTTATCTGTAAAATTACATCAATGAAAATTAAAATTCTTATTTATGATTCTATAAATGTGCTGTAGGCAGTTTCATAAGAGCCTTTTACTCACTTTTAAACTAAGTGTAATTTGAAATAGAAAGTCGAAGTATCAAAAAAGAAAAAAAAAACACAATGTCCCCCCAGAAGCCTGAATTCATGACGTGTAGAGATTAAAACAGAAAGCAGTGCACTTTGGAAAAATTTCCACTTAAATGCCAAATAGTTTTCACTGTACTTCACTCTTATCTCTCTCACAACAGTGCTGAACTACACAGAAGTCAAGAGTTTTAACAGAAATAGCTTAAATGAAATGTCCAAGAAAAACGTGCTCCTTACATAAACACATTCACCACATAATTATTAAGAAGAAAAGTAGCAAAAAAAAAGCAGACAAGAGTGACTGGGGCAAGAATATATGTTATTTCAGAGTTCTAGTCATGTTGTTTCTAAGTTCACATGCTTCAGATATCCCTAAAGTTTAAAACACCTCAAAATCTATAGAAAGATAATCCATCTTCCTTCCTTTTTTCAAGCTCTGCTTATCTGTTCCTGGCTATAGAAAACAACACAGCTAGAAGAGCAGATAACAGGCAGGAGTGTTTCCAGTTCCTCCTTTCCAGGTAAATTTTAAACAGCAGACTGAATGCCAGCCACTGCTCAAGTCCACCCATTAAAGTATAAACATTTAAACAACAGCCTATAACTTCAGGAATAAATTTACATGTTCTGACAAAATCTATTTACAAATCCATAATTTAAAGTATTAATGCCAATCTATGTCAATATTTCAATGCAACACCTGAACTACTAAGAGCCTTGTGTAAACTTCCAGATACTAAATAAGATCTCTCTGTAAAACCCAACCTCAGCAATGAGAATTATTCCCATCCTATTAAAAAATCCATTCTAAGCTTCTTTTAGGAAATCTGTTTCTAGTTCTCAAAATAGCATTTTCATGATAAAACTGCAAGGCCATGTGATGCCTGGAACTCCAGATAATAGTCCTAAAAAGAATATGTATGCTAACCACTCTATAAAGGAATGGCCAGCTCTGACACCCTAACATTTCATCATCTTCAGTGAGTTCGAGCTAATGGTATTAATAAGATTTCATCTCTGACAACTGTGGCAGAAGAGGGAAATGGCATTGATCACAGAATTTTACATCAGCAACAGGACAGAATGCCATTTTTAAAAATGGGAAGCTTTCTGAAGCATAAAGGGGACTCCTATTAATAGGATATTTCATCCACTGATTTAATACACTGATTAAAACCTCCTCCAAGAAAGATGTATTTCCATCCAAATTAACATTTACGCTTTTGTAGAGTTTTACATACTGAAGAGTAATCACCATAAGAAACCTCCTTAGTAAGAATCCCCCATCCACAAACTCACAGGAAGCAGGCATTTTAACTGGCTATTCCTAAGCTGTATTTCATACAGGGGCACTGTATTAGTCTGATTAGTCTTCCAGTTCTTTAATTTACCAGTTAACTGTCTGAAATCAAATACTTATACTGGCTACAAAACAGAACATGAGACAGAAGTTTAGCCCAGTGCTTCGTGGCTTTATACAGTTAACTGTACATGTTAAATGCCATTTATGATTCAGGAAGGTTAAAATAACTTTTTTTAAAGTCCTGATATAAGAAAATGGGGAGTCACATACTACCACTACTCTCACAGCCACCATGCACACATTTTTAGTGCTAGGAAGGAGAAAATATAGTTAAGAGAAACAGAAAGGAGAGATAAAGTCAGAGTTACAGTGGGTTCGAGTTTAAAACAAAACAGATTAGAGAACTTTCATCTAAACTTGTTTCTACTCATCTCAAGAGTAAGAATAAACTTTAATAAGACAGTCATACATTAAACATTCACATTTCAATTAAGTCATACTAAGTAAACAAGGTTGTTTAATGAATAATAAAAACCTTCAAGATGGACTGACTTGAATGGCTTGAAAACTCCGAAGATTCATCTTTAATATCATCTTGTCGTCTTTGGACAAGGCGGGAAGCTCGCTGTTTGTACAGCTGGTGCATTGCAGACTCAAGCTCGTTAATCAGAGGCACCTGTAAAAATACAACACACCACGTAACACCCGGATCCGGGGCTGCTCAGCTTCTGGGGTCCCAGCCTATGGCGGAGCAAACGCTGCCACTGCGCTCGCAGCAGCACCAAACCTGCCTGCACTCCTCTGTGCCATCTGCACCAGGAAATAGCTCCGTGTGGAAAGTGCACACATGTAACACTGGCAGCTTTCAATCACAACAAAAGCATCCTGAAAGCAGTGAATGAGTCTACACAGCCAGACATCCTATTTAGAGTGTGAAATATTCTCTTCAGTATTCTTGCTTTCCCTACAAGTGTGTTACCTGTTATGTCAAGGTCTGCAATTCTCAGATGTCAGTTGTTTCCTCTCTATCTCTAAACAAGAATTTTACACTTCAGTGAGAAAATAATCTGACTGTACACAGTGAAAAAACACCCATGAATCCAAACTACTGAAGCCAGCAGCTACTATTTTGTGTCCTCTAACTCTTAATAGCACATGCTGAAATATTATTACTGAAATGAAATAAAATCCTGCATAAGGGTGTTATGCCAACAGGTAATTCAAATCGGTCAAACACTCCTCTAGCTTATCACTAAAATTAAAGTAGTATAATTTGTGCAAGTTATGCATTAAGTATAACCTTGAATTAATCAAGTAGGTCATGTCAGACCTGTCAGGTTTTTTTTTTCTTTAATGAACTATTTTGGTGGCATCTCTAATAAAAATAGAAGATATTATGGCAGCCAGGAATTTCCTGACATTAAACAGAAGGTTCATTGCTCTTTTTTTGTTCTCATTTCTTTTGAAAAAAAGTCCTTTTGGTATGCACACTTAAGCCATGTCCTCCTTACCTCTGAGATGTATGCTTACTCCATTGTCTTCCAGCCTTTTATATTTCATTGCTGCCTACCATCCAGGATTATGTTTTTTTCAAAACAGAAGATAAAATCAGATATTTTTTCCTGAAGTATTTTAGAATGTGACTCAGCAACTATTAAAGAACCTCCTTCAGTAAAATGTAAAATTCTGAGCTGATAGCTACAGGGCCATTTCAGCTCACTGAGACTGACATACACATCAGAGAAGAAAAAGGTTTTAGCTCTGTGGGATAAATGTGGCTCCAGGGATTAAAATGAAAGCAGCTCTGCACCAACTCAAAATACACACACCTTTCTTTTGGAGAAAAGAGTAGAGAGAAAGACAAGGAGGGAAAAATCTTCCAAGAGATGGAAGTTCACATCTGGAATTTAAGACAGTTTTGAAAACAGAAATAATAGTTAAAAACTACTAGCTTTACTGCAATTTACCATAGGAAGTACAGCTTCTTCTCTTAAGTATGTAGAGGAAGTTCTAAGACTGCAAAGTTAAACGAAAATTTTTCAATGCATCCCTAGTGGTTCTTTCTGTGATTATCTCAGGATTTAAAAAAAAAAATATTAATGTATTCAAATATATGAATCCACTCAAAATATTTCCCATTCAGAATACAAGAGACTTAGAAGCCCTTATTTTTCTCTAATCAATACTGTGGTTAATGAGTGGCTGACAATTTCACTGACTACTATAAAGTTATAACCCTCATTCCCTGTTTTGTTTAGTCAGTACCTTAAATTCAGTGTTTTCAAGGGGAATTTTTATTCACTTTCCTTATAAACAGTGGAAGAGGAAAAGCAGAAAGGTCTCTAAACATTCAGATCACAAGGATAATTCAGATACACAGAGTGTGTTTTGGCAATTCATTTTTGCAGGTAAAGTAGCAGTTTATCTACTTGTGCTGTCAAAGGCATGCCCAGAACAATTCAATCTTTCTGTATCCACTATATATTCCTACATTCAAAATGTAAAAATGCCAGTGTGACTCGCCAGCCTTCTCAGAAAACATAATTTTAGAGTAATTACTTCTGAAGGAAGTCATGCAACCATCTTCCACTCTACTGTTGTTCTTATTTATGGGGGAAAAAAGGTATTACACAGGATTTGACCTTTTTAGTGCTTGTTTCAAAAATCTGTGTAATAGCTGTCTTCTCATACTCTGCTGAGCCTTAAGATTTGGCAAAGTGATCCTAACATTCAGAATCTCTTCAAAATATTATACTTAAATATATGTTTTTGTATATGTATGTACATATATATATATACACACATACAGTATTATTATTAGACATATATTCTCATGTATATTATAATAACTACAAACATTATTGTAAATAATAGTAACAACACTTTAAATAGAAGCAGTCAGGGCCACAGGTTCTGTAAAAAAGCTGAAGGTAATTTATATCTACACTCCAAAGTTTATAACTATTTACCATCCTACTGCATTTCATTTAAGTAAAAACTTGATACTGATGTTATTACTTGACTTTGTTCCCTTCCAGCACCTCCTTTATAGAAAACTTTTCAGTGTCCTGTGGGCTACTGGGTCTGAATTTGCTGGTACTTTTGTCATGCTGAAAGCACTGCATTCCAAACCACATTATCTAGCCAAACATTATCAAAATAAACGAAATGTTCCTGTTAGACTGACCACATAACCTGCTACTTTTGCAACTCACTTTACATACAAGTACAGCAGCAGCCTCCACCTGAAACCAGCAAAACTCTGTGAATGTCTCTAAGAAGCCTGAGATTATAAAAGTCACATTTTAAAAATATTTGAACAAGACAGCTTATGCTAGCAAGGAGAACCTCCAGACATGGTTTACAGTCATCACAAAAGTAACTTAACAAAAGGTCTTTAGAAAGAAAACACTGAATAGAAACAGATATTTAACTTGACTTCTGAAATACAAATTTACCTCAGAGTAAAAATGGAAAAACTTATCTTTAATAGGAAATCAGCCATCTGGGTAACCAGCACTGTCTAAGAAAGTACCTTTATTGATCTTCAACACCTAATGCTAACACAGACTCAGGAATATGGCTTCTTAAGTGAACAATCAACTGCAACTAATTATACTAATTGTACTGATTAGTTATACTAATCAATCAGCTAGATAAATTAACTGTCCCACCCTTCCTGGGTTTCCTCATGACATAGCTACTCTTCACTTTTACAGGATGAAGACCAGACTGTCCCAGCTCCACTAAGAGAGGACAATTAATATCTGACCCATCAGCACCCAAAATGCTTCTCCATTCCTCTCCCACACCTAACAGGCTGGGCAAGCAGTAGCTTAGAACTACTCAATTATTCTGACAAGATATTAAGAAATTAATATCCTACTACTGTATTCAAGTCAGAAGACAATGAAGAAATAGCCAATATACTGCTAGCTGAACTTTACAGCTTCTGTGTGTGCCTAATATGTGTGTGTACATATCAATATATATATATATATTCAAGAGTTTCTATTATATTTACAACAAAGTAAGTAATCAAAGCACGGTGCATAACATGAGAAAAAAAGACTAAGTTTTTGATTCAGGGATGCATTAAAGTGTCACACTACATGAAAGAAATATATTTTAAAGTGAGGTGTCTTTGAACAGCTATGCTAGTTTTAAAACTTCTCTCCTTCAGACTGCAGAGCAATACCAACAAACATCTGGCAGGAGGAAGTTTATAATACAGAAAATACAAGCCTCTGTTATTGTGTACATCAAGCACTCCAGAAAGTAGTAATGTGAATTCAGTAAATTCAGCCTTTATTTTTGCTAAACTGATGTCCAACACAAGTAAAAAGGAGTATCTGAGTAAAGTTGAAATGCCAGAGTATCTACAAAAATCCTGAAGACATAAAATCTGCAAGTTTTTAGGCAACCTAAAGTCAGGGAGCTGGGAGGAGAGATTTCTGATAACAAGCTTAGCATGATAGAAAGTTCTTTCCAATCCTCAAAGAACCAAACCTTTTGAAGAATATGCTCTCAAAGGACTTTTTTCAAAAACAAAGGGAGATGTACTCTTTGGCATGTAATAAGAGACCTTTTTTTTTTTTTTTTGTAAAGAGATGAATGTTTTTGCATCCTTACCTTTTCACTGAAACACTCAAGCAAGTCTTGGACATACCCTCGCATTTCTTGCAAAAACTTATACCGTTCACCAATACCCCCAGAAGACCCTTCTAATCTTTCAATTGCCTTGGTAGAGTCCTCTTGGCTTTGCTGATGTTTCTCATATTGCTGCCGATTAGCTTTGTGCATTTCTTTCATAGAGTCCAACCTGAAGGGCAATGGATAAATAGTAAATTTACATCCAAAAGTCTGTCTATTTCAGACCATTGAGACATCAAACAGACAGTACAGTGCAAGTACTGAGCCTATATAAGGGAAAATTTGCAAAGAAATTCTTGACCTTTGATTTGTCACCTTCTCCCCTCTCTTCATGAACAGCCAGGCTAATGATCCACACTCATTTGCTAGACTATGCTGCAGTGCACAGCACTGGCCACTCCTACAAACTTGTACAGGAGCTGACAGCACACAGAGCAGTGCAAGGCTGTCCCCAATGAAAAGCTGGCAGAACAGGTTGGGGGTGAATGGGGACTACAGCTCATACAAAGCATTCTTTTTCCTCTACTAACTTGATTCACTGTCAAAGGCTGCAACACTACAAGGAGCATACAAACCAATTTTGAAGACATGTAAAGTGCAAGCTGTTCCTTACATATGATTTCTCACTGCAATTGTGTTGCTCATTCCATACCTTCTGCGTACCTGACAAGCAGATTACAGTGTTTAAGCCAAAAAAATCCCTGTATACACTAAAAATTAAATTCCTTATCTACTGAAGGGGAAACCTCTGATTCACAGTTTAAAGGAATGCAGCTTGATAAGCTAAACACCTCACTGGCCTTTTATTTCTTCACTATAAGAACTGTGCAGTGTCCAGAAGATGGAACTCAGACCTCTCTTCAACAAGATCAATGGCCTCATATTTAAAGTTTCACTTCCAGAGAAGCAATCCAAGGAGATTTTCGAACAAAGTGTCAATGTCATCTTCACTTTGAGCTTTTTTGTTTGCCTTTTTTTTTTTTTTTTTAATGGATGTACCAGTCAGTTTCCAGCGATGAAACTCTGTGTTTGCTCCCCAGGACTAAAAGACACCTGAGGAACAGAAACCTAGGGGACAGGTCTTTAAGTCTAAAAAGATGGTCTGTCCTACCTGTCTTTAAGCTGTTTCTTTACCAAATCAATAGTAACAGGAGTCATCTCATTACTGGGAGTTTTGAAAGGAACTGTATTATCTGTTTTTTGAGACTTGGTTTCCGACGATCCATACGCAGCATAGGTGTATGGAATGCCATATGATGAACCATAAGACAGTGTCTGGTAAGTGTTCTGGTAGTACACATTATTCACTTCTGCAGGCTGACTTGGCTGAACCTAGTGGCAGAGGAAATGTAGTTGTACTATGTTAGACTTTAAAGAAAGGGGAGACTTACTTTTTTACACATTCCAAATCAAAGTGGAAAATGTAAGGAGATACAGTTACAAAATGTAATTATCAAAGGGATTTAAACATCCAATATCCAAGATAGAAGAAACAAATGCCCTCAAGAAGGTAAATGGAAAATTCTTAGTATCATTACCATTCTAAACACTTATACTATTTCTCTTTAAAGAGCATTAGAATTTACAGACTTAATTTCTCAAATGAAACTACTCAAGTTTGTAAAGGATTTACCAATACTTGCAGAAACCAGTCAAAAAAGAGTGCACAATTATATACATGCCTGGGGTATGTTGATTCCTTTTCGTATCTGCTCTTGCTCCCATCTACTGAGTTCTTCATCTTGCTCCCCTGCCACTAGTGCTTCATCATCGCTTCCCTCAATACCTTCACACAAGTAAGAAAAAGAAGATAATGCATTCATAATTGCAAGGGCCACAAATTCAAAAACCTGAAACCATGCCTCAGTGAGCACCTTCCTTTCCTCTTCATGAGGAATTAAGGACACTGGCCTGTGAATTATTAGCACACGGGTTCCACTGGAAAGATCCAGTGGGAAAATTTACAATTCACTGCTGGTAATCCTCTAATGTCTAACTCCTTTTCCAAAAGGTTATTTTACCTGCTAGCCAGCAAGAAGAATTCTATATCAAATGTTTTTCTTTTCACAATTATATACTTCCTAAAAACAGAGTACAGGAAAAACAAGAATCGATCCTTAGTGTAAGTTTCTATCACAATCAGCAGTGTGCACAGGAACAGAGTTTTGTGTTCAAAATTTTACAAGCATATTCCATTATGTAGTACTTTCCCTCAGAAATGTTATGCAACTCCAGATTGTTTGAAAAACATGTTGTTTAAAAATGCTGAATGGGAGCACTCGCAGTGAAAACAGTGTGAACATTTATCAGCTGACCTTCCAAAAAAGGGTTTACCTATTTCCTCAGCAATCTTTTGCCTTTGGGATTTTTCCTTCACTGTAAAAACTATCCTCCTCTTCTCGTCATCATCTTCATCATCACTGGCATCGTTTTCATCTTCTCGAACAAGGCGGCCTTTACCTGGTTCACTGTCAACGGGGGTAAAGTCTCCAAGCTCACGAGCCATTTGGCGCTTTTTCCTAGCGGCATGAATAAAAGCAGCATCTGGAATTTCTCCTAGAGACAGATGTGAGCACGGTTAAACAACTTCGGCAACAGAACAGGTGTTACAATTTCTTACTGCTCATCTCTGTCATTGTATCAAATCATCTCAGCACACAAAAAAAAGCATGAGTGGAAGCAAATTCATACTCACAGAAAACATCTGAAAGTATCTTAGATGTTTAACATGTCAACTTTCTGACCAGAAACCCTCAAAGTCAGGATCATCACAGAAAGTCTGGCTCTGCTTCCAGTAGCTCATGTCATAAGACAGAAGCCTAATGCTCCTATGTGAAATATTCCCAAACAAGAGGAAGCCCTTTAGAGGAGCTGACTATTGCAAAGGGAGGAAGAAAATGAGGTGCATGACTGGGTAATTTCCTATCCCAGTATTGCTCCCAGCTCTTCTTATTTTGAGGAATAAAAAGCATCAACTGTTTCAACAGACATCAGAGATTAAGAGGCCACCAAATCAGACACAGTTAATACACAGAAAATTGTATAATCAAGGGGAAACATGAAAAGCATCAGACCTAATCAGAAAACTCTAAAATCTACAGCACAAAACTTAACACAACTTACATATGTCATATAAATCAATGTGTGGGCCCAGGACACACAGCTGGTATTTGGGGAGCAAACTGCCATAATCAGCAAACCAGTTTCAAAAATATTTTCTCAGGTCCTGACTAGAACCTCAGTATACAAAACAGGATAGGAAAATATTTCAGATACCTTGCACACTCACAATTGAAACATTTTAATTAAAGAAGAAATTTTAACTGAAAGCAGTTAAATCTCATGTGATTCCAAATCTAGATTTCCTTGCAGTTTGTCATCTACTTAAAAGACGAATTCCTGCTTCTGACATCAGGATGAAGCATTCCATAGCAAAACATTTTCTCCCATAGGACTTGTAAAACTGAACACCTTTAGAAAATAGCAGTTGCTTGAACTCGCAGATGCTAAATTGTTGGAAACTATTTCCTAATTTCTCACACACATTAGTCTGCTACAACATTGGCTAAATCACTTGGTAACTTATCAGACATATTACAAAAACCAACCTGGGCGGAGAACATTCAGTGATGACAGAGCACTTGAAAAAGCACCACCAGCTTTTGGTTTCTCTTCTTCCTTCTCACTTTCAACTTCCATTTCTTCTTCACCATGCTCACTGTTTGCAGTCCCATCTTCTTGGCCTATATCCTTATTCTGTCCTACCTTTTCTGGTGGTGCTTCAGCTGATAAAAGAGCAAAGTCCATGTTTTACTCCATTCATAAAGATCACTCAGAAGTATTTTTTTAAAGATACAACAACCAAAAGTGAAAATCAAATGAAAACATTAAATAATAATTTTATTGCTTGAGATCTAGGAAAACACACACTTGAATTGTGATTAAATCACTGACATCCTCTCAAAATAAAATGTGACAAGGCAGGCCCCACCAACCACTAAACATTCTCCATATTGTCAAGTATTAAGAGAGTGGGGGAACTCAACCTTTTGCAACCTTGTCAAAGTCTCTTTCAATGAGAAAGCACTGCCTGTGTTACATCACGTCTTTCCCCAAGAAGTGGTTGATTCCAAAATATCCCTTCATTTCCCTCTTGGGCTACATCCTACATTAGGTGGCTAACATACAGACACAGGCAGCAAGTATAAATAATGTGTAAAAAGATGCATGCTAAACCCAGCTACTCAAACCAAGCTGCACATATCTGAGGTTTCAGACTCAAGCTCTTGTTCAGAGAATCCAGGCTACTCTCTCAGTCCTGTCCCATCCAACAGATAACCTGAACACCAGCCACAGAAATTATAATTTCTGGTTTTGCTCATACCCCACACCACTACATAAGGATTCTAATAAGAAAGAATAGGTGGGTTTTCTAAATGCAGACAAAACCTTTAAAATAATTTAATTAAATTTAAAAAGGGTATTTCCTGCATGGGACCATGTTCAATCCCCATGTGCTTTTCTAGATCATGGCAATCTTTAGATCATAAGCCTCCCAAGCTCGTGCTCGTAGCATTACATAATCTATGTAAAAACTCAAGTGGAAAAGGAAGCACTACTCTTTACCAATGAGCTTCCTAAAAACCAACAATACAATGAAATTGAAGTCCCAGGCTCTATTTCAAGCTCTTAAGGACTGCACATTGTTAACAGATCCTTCTGCTCCAACACTTTGAGTCTATCATCCTAATCAAGTCTACTGGAAGGTCCAAGTCCTGAAACAGGCAGTTGTTTAACAATTAACTTAATAACAAAGACCATCACTCTGCTCACCCCTAAAATCTTCCTTTTTGAAGAAAATGCATTACAAGGACACATCTTGTCAGACAAGCACCAGGTATGTTTTCAAACAAGTGGAATTCCTTCCTAATTCAATAACCAATTCATCTGTCATAAACACAGCTGCAATTCAGAATACTGATGTCTACTGACAGCCATCTAACAGATTTGAGAAGTTCCATCCTTCTATGTTAATTTCTACATGAGAACCAAAGTACTCTCTACCAACGCAGAATAGCATTCCTAAGGCTCAAGTAACACATTTCATCTGTGCTTTACTTCAGCTCTAAATGTGAAGTTCTCTAGAAGACTAACAATTCATTCTGAAAACAATACATTAAATTACAGTACTTTATCTTTTCCACTACATAAGTTACTATCATTATTAGTTTTGCAATTACCATCTGTTGGAGAATTGGCCTCTGTTCTAACTTTTGATTTTTCAAGATCTTCTTTGTATTCTTTCTTCAACTGTTTTACAATCTTCTTGCTGTAACTTGATTTCTTCACTTTGAAAACTTCTTCTGTTTCTTTAAAAGAGAAATTGGATAACGTTACATCAGATCTGTCAAGCAGGTGTTATTTATCAAATCTCTAAATGTTGTACCTGGAACTTCACAAATGCCATTAACAAACATTGTAGGGTTCTTTGACAGTCTATAGTGAAAGTCTAATTCTATGCCTTCAGTACTTCCATCAAGATTTCAAATCACGAGTCTCAGAAACCAAGTTTCAGTGATTTCAAGAGAATTCCTTCTAAGACGACTCAAAACTACAGGAACTGTTCGGACAACAGGCAGTGAGTCCGAGGTGACCCATCAGCACCAGCCACATCACATTAAAACAACCTCGACACAAGCCACGGGACAGATGCTTCTCAGCTAACACTGCTGGCTCCAAGGGGAGGCTACTGCTGCACTTACTCCCGCACAAACCTACGGGCCACGCAGGTGCAGTGAACGCAGCACAAGGGATGCACCAGCAGCACAGAAGCAATTTGAAGCCCTACACGGCAGCCGAGCCCTCGGGGAGCCTGCAGGCCCCGCCGGAGCCATGCCGGGCCGGGGAAGGCGCGGCTCCACCGGGCCCGGGCATCCCTGGCCCCCCGCACCGAGCCCTCAGGGCCCGCCCTCCCTTATGTGATCCCGCATCACCCCTGGCCACACGGAGGTCTGCCCTAAAAAATAAACACGGATCCCGGCTCGCTTGGAGGGCCGGGGGAGGCCCAATGCAGACTCAGCAGCTCCGGGTTCCTTTCCCGCAACGAGAGACCCAAAAGCCGGGCAACCAGCCGCCTCACCCTCCTCCTCGTCCTGGAAGCTGAGCAGGCTGGCCCTCGGCACCTCTTTGTTCTCCCGCGACTTCTTCTTCTCTTTGGGGCGCCCGGCCACCGGCAGCCCATTGCCCTGCTGGGGCTGGGGCGGCGGCGCCGGGGGCCGCAGCACACCGGGCGCCGGCAGAGCCCCCAGGCCCGCTCGGTCGCCTCCCATCATGCCCAGCCCCAGGCCGAGAGCCGCTCCGTAGCTCGCGGCGCAGGCGAAGGCCGCGGGGCTGCCGGGCAGGGCGAGGGGCACGCAGCCGGCGGGCAGCGGCAGGAGCCCAGCGCCCGACGCCAGCGGCACGGAGGCCTCGCTGGGCCCTTCCCCCGCCGTCCCGGCCGCCGGCGCCGGCTCCTGAGGCGGCTCCTCGTCGCGCTCCTCATCCTCCTCTTCCGAGTCGTTCCGCTTCCGCACATTCACCCTCCGCGCCTTGCGGAACATCCCGCCAGGCCCCCGCCGGCCGCCCCGCCGGCCGCCCCGCCAGGCCCCGGTTCCGCCCGCTCCGGCCGCCCCACGCTGCGGCCCAGGCCCAGCCCCGCGAGCATGGCACCGCCGCCCGCAGCGCCCCCTGCCGCCGGCTCCCCCAGCGGCGGGCGGGGAGAGCGGCACTGCGCCTGCGCGGCGGGCAGCGCGCGGAGCGGCGGCTCGAGCGGCCCGCCCCGCCCCCGCTGCACCCTCACGTCCGGCGCCATCTTGTGCCGGGAGAGCGGCGCGACCCGGGGGGGAAAGGGTGGTGGGGCGTGGAAGGGGAGAGGAGGGTGATAGAAGTATGAAGTGACTTATACTAAATGTGAAAAATGCGTGTTTTATTACTGGTGTTTTGCAAATATTAAAATTAATATTGTATGGTTGTGTTAGAAAGTTACGCTGTATTAAGACTCTTAAGTAGCGTGTTAAATATAGGTTTAGGTTATAACAAAATGTTAAAATAGAAACTATGCTATGTAAGATACTTTTTTTCTAAAGAAAGGACTCGCACCGAGATAGCAGCCATAGGACACCTAAATCTTTCAGAGAAAAATAATTTATTGCTCTCTTATCAGAAGAAACGAACTTCTTCCCGCCTCACTCAGGACGACGCCGTCAGGATTCAGAGGAAGAAGATGACATGACCAGACAGAATCCTGTGTTTGAATGGAATTTATGCATCATGTATGAGGTGTATGAATATGCAACAGGCTGTTGTTTTTAAGGGTCAATCCTCTGTTAACGTTTGTCCTTTTTCAGGTTTATTTTGCCCAGAAAAGGTACCCGGACTGTCTGTAACTCTTTGTTTGTATTGTCTCATATTGTCCTAATCCAAATTTTCCAAATTATTATTACTCTGATTATATTTATATTTTTATAACCATTTTATTATCATTAAACTTTTTAAAAACAAGTGATTGGCATTTTTCACATTAAAGAAAAGGTTCATCATGTGCGATGAGTTTGTTGTATAAAATTTGTTTTATTATACCAGACAGAGATGCGTTTTGGAGACATTGCTCTGGAAAAATTCTGCAAGCTTCTAATGCAGTACTTCTAAAGCCGTATAAAATAGAATTGGTAACGTGTTCGTGGTATCTGCTGGGGCAGAATAGGGTGGTTGGGAAGCTCACCACAATATCAGAGCTGTGGATTTCTGTAGCTTGGGGATTTTTTGCTCTTTCCAGGAAACAATCCTGCTGTGCTTACTTGGGCACTGGAATAAAATCTCTTTGGCCTGAGCCTTATTCAGAACACTAGAGTGGCAAAAGTAACTAGAAATTTAATTTGCTCTGTAAGAAAGCCCATGGATTTATTAACCTCATTTCTTCCCAACAAGGCCAGAATACATACATCCTCAGCTACTGCTGCATGTGTGAATTTTTGGACATTGCTGTCATTGTAATGGGGAATTACTGTGATTCCAGCACATTTTTTACCAGAGGGCAGCAGATCTTTGCTGAAGATCATTTAGGTTTAATTTTCCCAGATTTTGGAGAAGGCCTTGGTAACATTTAGAAATCAATATATTTGTGTGTACTGGCTTTTTTTTTTTTTTAAACACAGCACTCCTATGTAGGATTGGTGAGTTGCTAGTTTGTGAAAGCAAGGTTAGCTCTCTTGCAGAGACAGCTGGATAAGGGCAGATGACATGAATTATTTGCCTGTGTCTGTAACAGGCAGTCATGAGAGGTATCACTGGAAATATTTGTAATTTGGAGAAAATGGCTTATGGTTTGTTGCCAAGGTGCTGACAGAGGAAACTATGTCTTTACAACAGCTGATTCAATTGTTCTCTGGCTGAGTTAAATGGAGTTTGGTACCCAGCTTGCAAACACCAGTGTGCTTAAATCTATTTGCAATTGCAAATAGACCCCATTAATTCCACTGTTATCACATTGCTGATTTCAGTGGGAAAGCTCACAGTAACGGATGTTGGACATGTATTTAAGTCTTCTGAAAAATTAAATTTTGCTTCCTAGCAAAACTGCTCCATCATTGATTACAGTTACATCAATATGACTATTTAAAATAGAAAGCTTCACTGGTTCCTCAGAATCTTGATAGGCATTCCCCTAAGTGCACAGAGACTCATGGAATCCCAGATTGGTTTGGGTTGGAAGGGCCCTTAAAGACCACCCAGTTCAATCCCCCTGCCATGGGCAAGGACACCTTCCACTAGAGCAGGTTGCTCAAAGCTCCATCCAGCCTGGCCTTGGACACTCACAGGGATGGGGCAGCCACAGCTTCTCTGGACAGAAGTTTTCATATATTTTTTTCTCATTGGCTTGGAATCTTCTGCAATGGGAGCTACATGGATATGCCTTTTTCTGTCAAGGCAAAACCTGCAAACAAAATTTATCTGCAGATTTTAATTGTCAACCTAGAATATATGAACAAAAAAAAAAAACAAAACTAACAATTCTTTGGAAAATAGCTGTTTCACATTTATTTTGTTCTTTTAAAAAAACTTTGCTGAATTAATCTGATGAGTCTCTTATTTCAAACACCTTCTTGTGGAGTTCTCTCACAGTCCCCTAACACATCCTCCTGGACAAACCAGACAAACTTAAAGGCATCCCATCACTCTTAGCAGCCTCCTATGCCTCTCACTACTGACTGTGTTAAATAACTCAGTAAATGAATGTTACAACACAGCTCTCATTTTCTGAAGTGGAGAAAACATCAGAGTACAGCAGGCTGGGAAAGTGCTTAATGATACTAGAGACATTTTCCACACTGTATGATTTCAGCAATGAATATCCATTGAAAAGTGAGAGATATCCAGAAAAGAAAATATATGCAAGCATTTGCCTGTCTTTGTTGTGCACCTCAAGCAAGTCTTCTTTGTCATTGTTGCTGCTACTGGAGATAGGTACTCTCTGCTCTGGAAATTGTCCCTTGACCTTGTTTACCTGGAGCTTTCGAAGTCCCCAAACGTCCAAATATTCCACTGGGAGAGGAGTGGTGCTACAGAAGGACAGCTTCAAATCCCTGTAAGTCTCTGTCCAAAGTTTCTCTCATCTGCCTCACAATCGTCATGAAAAAGGACAGAAACTGGGACCACCGAGAAAGACCCTGTTTGGAATCCTGGTCTTGTTGGAGATGGTTGCTTGCCAAGATCCAAGCAGAGCTTCTGGCCTGCCAAGCTATTGTTTGCAGGTGTGTTTGCTATATGCAACACTGAGCCCAGTGAAAGGAGAAGGGGCACTCTGCCCTTTCTTCGCCTGCACCTGCTCTTTGCAACAATGGCCCTGGAATTTCCCCACCTCTCGGCTTGGCTGGACTTTTCTGAGGTAGCCTTTGGTGGTCCCCATGGAAGACCCTTCATCTGTTTTACAACCACCGTGATGGATGGGCTGAGATGGGAGAAGCCTCTCCCTCAAGGACTGAGACCTAAACCCCTAACCCAGGGGAGGTGTGTGGGGAAGGCAAGCTGACCAAAGCCAGATGGACGCCTGCACGTGTGACCATTGGACCAAGAAGACAATGGTTCTCACCTACTGCTGAGAATATGGATTGTTTGTACCCTTCTTCAATGCCTTCTTTTTTTTTTTTCCATCAGCAATTACAATACACTGTTCTTTATTACATTTGATTCGATTTCAAGACTTGTCCCCTTCCCCCATCAAAACAGGACTATAGTAGAAGCTTGAGTTGACCAGTATCTCTGAGATCTCCCCGGCCGTGACCAGGGGAGCTCTGTCAGCTGGACTTCAAAGGACTTTGTCATTCTACATTTGGTAGCTATATACCTTCCTTTCTCTCCCTCCCTCCCTTTTCCCTATTTTTTCCTTTTTCCACAATTCCTCCCCAATGCATTTGGCTGTGGTCATTCAATAAAGGTGCATTTGTTTTTGATTATTACTGCAAATCCCCTTACCATTTTTTTGCACTTTGAGATCAATTAACGAACCATCACGAAACCTGTTCGTAATTATGGATCGTGACAATCCCACACCTCATCTTGTGAAGCTGAGGACCATCTCCAGCACAGAGAGATGTGTGTGAACCAGATGGTCAGGTGGCTGTTGCAGGTATTTTTTCCCATGGTAGAAAGCAGCACTGTTTTGCAGTTGCACACCAAGTTTGCCAGGCAGTAATTGCAGTCACGGATAGCATGGAACAACTGCAGTTGTGAATTGTGTTTTCCTTAGTGAAAATTAGCATGTGATTCTTCTTACTTCTCACAAAACTGATGTGTATGCCAAGGAATCTGGCCAAAATAAGAGCCAGACAAATGGAGAAAGCAGGGTAGGCTATTGGCCTCATTAGCATTGGTGCCAAGCTGCCAAATGTCTCCTCCTTTTACTGAGTGATTTAGATCGATCAGCTTTACCTACTGAGGAAAAGCAATTTCTTTATAATACTAAAGATCTCTCAATGGTTAATATTACTTTGCTTTTCCACTCATTATCTGTCACATCTATTTAGAGCCATTTCTCAGTTCTGCATTAAGGAGAAAGCACAACTACACTGATTTAGAAAACAGATTGTGACTAAAGTTTGGGATTATTTTTTCATTCTTCTTTTGTTCTAAATTTTCATCTGCTGTTTCATCTGTTGTTTCATCTGCTTATAAGACAGCTTGGACACATTCTTTTCTATGGCAGCTTTTGGCCTGGCCTGTGCAGAGGTAAAGACAGGACCAGGAGTTGTGCAGGACAATTGCTGCTTGTTTCTCCTTTCTGCTTTATTTGCTTCCAACCAGATAGGGGTGACAAAAGACCCTGTTCTCCACTTCCCTGAGTGAGGCAGTCTGAGAAGGGCTGGAAGTGATAGTTTTGTTTTACACCTGAATTGCTAAGTAATATTGTGATAACCTTTCCCTTAAACTGGTGTGGGATATACTGGGAAAAGGGAGGGAGGGAGGGCAGTTAAGGGCAGAAGTATTGCTGGGCACAGCACATATCCTTCTGAACTATGTGAGGTGCTGATAAAACCTGATTTTGATCCATGTCAAGCTACATCTGCTCCAGCCTTAGTCGGTAAGTTTTGAGGACCAGGAACCACCTCTCAATCTGTCTTGCACAACAACGACAATAGGAGAGATCCAGGCTCTGTCAGTTGCTCTGCCTCCACTTAATTTACCCTTGCAAAGAAAAATAGCAGCTCCACACATACCTATGACAATGGAGCAAGTTCCCATCCCAGCTATGGGCCACCTCAAATAGGTAGGAGCATGTTTGGTGGGATTCTTGGATTCTCAGTTGCCAGCCCTTTGGTTGGCTGGCAAACTGAGAGTTTGACTGGAGTTGAATTTTACCAGGACCATCTGTGTTTTCCTGACGTATTATTATATGATGGTACAGCCAATGAAGTACAGTGCAGTTTCTTAACAGAAGTTATAAAGATGTTGGAAAGTTTGTCTAATTTGATGTAACTGGTTTGAAGCACCAAGAAGCATTAGAGACAAATTGTGACCAAAGATGACATGTTCTAATGAAAGCAGCAGTAGAGCACATGATGGATAGAATTTGGTCCTTATCATGTAAAAAGATTGATTCACATCCATAATGTTTGTCTGCAGCACTTCAGAAAACATGGCAATACACCTAGTTTTTTAGACTTCTGTTATTAATATTCTTGTTCCTGTTTGTCCAATTCCTGTTCCTATTTCTTTTCTTATCTCATTGCTGTTTCCAGTAAACTGTTCTAATCTCAATCCGTGAGCTTTGCCTTTTGTACCTCCAGTTGGAGGTGGGGGAAAGGAAGCATGGGAGGCTTTTTCAGTGGGAGTACTGAAGTGGAGAATACCATTCCCAAACCATGACAAAAGGATGCAGATATTTAAGTTTTTAAATCAAATATTTAATCTATGTTGTGGAACATACCAGAAATTCCAGTCCAGCTGCTGGCTGGTGTTTAACTCCAAAGGTCAGACTCACACAAGCTGTAGCTGTTGTAGTATCATTATTGCTAGAAATGTTTCCACTATCTAAGCATTTAATCACATGGGAAATCCTATTTCTAGACCTCCACACTGCTCATTTTCTCAGTCCCCAGTGACTAACAGTTGTGATAGACCAGAAGTCTGTAACATCAACACAGTTTGACAGCTAAATTAAATTATTTGGATTTTTCTGTGTTGGAAGCACTATTTGTAAGAAATCCTAGACAATGTTGACAGCATGAGTTTGGACTAGGTAAAAGAGATTCAAACTCCCACCTGTGTCAAAAGGAGTGATACTGCTTTTTCCACTTAACATTTGAGGGCTTAATATTCATCAGACATTAGACTAAAATGCTTTGATGCATCCTCATCAGTTTTAACTCTTTTTTCTCAGTACCTGAAGAGTGGAGAACCTTTCAAGTTCTCTACTGGTTTGCAGCCAACCAATCAGGTTTAGCTTAGCAGATAACGTTTGGGCTCCATCCATCTGAATCCAAACAAAAGTCTAAATTCTGGCATTCCAGGAAATTTAAACTCCAGAAATACATCTGTTCTTCTCTGTTCCCTGCAAATCAGAAACATTTCTATCCGGTTCTCAGGATTTAGTTTCTGTGTGGCTTTGGTGAGGGATATGCAAGAAGTTAAATATATATTCAGACTTGTATGTCTGTGAAGTGTCAAAGTCACCTGCAATGCATCTTTTCTTAAGCTAACAACTATCCTCAGAAAAATATGCATTATATGGGTCTTAATCAAATCACATTGCTGTTTCCATGGCTTAAGACTTGAAAATTATTTGCTTTAATTTTTAGGAATGGGAGAATTGCTTTCAGCAGGGCTCTTGGAGATATGCAGAGCCCTTTTTTGCAATATTACCATTAAGATGAAATAAAATATGGAATGATTTTCTTGCCTGTTGTAGTTCTGTTCTCCATCATCTCCAAAATTTAAAAATGAAATATTTCAGAAAGCTGGAGAATATGGTGTGTGTGGTGCATCTTTCCACCATGGTCGCTCTCTGAGCATTACCCACTTCCCTTAACAGAGATAATTTATCTCTTGAACTCACCAAAATAGTTTTAGGCATAACCTATAGAAATGCAAAGAATGCAGCAGATTATGCTAAATGTCAAGATTTTCTATGCAATTTTCTCAGAAAACTGGTGGGTATACTTTCTTCTCTTCCCTAATTTTTCAGTAAAATTTAGCTAGACTTCCAGTATAATCAGTACAACTATTCAAAGTCCCATCCACCTGAAACAATGGATTTTACAACTGGCTTCCATAAGCTATTTGACGTCTTTATGTAATGTAGCAGGTATAGAAGTTCTGTAAAAGTCATAGAAGACTTTTTCAGCTTTCTAGTTTATCTTAGAAGACTTTTGAACTCAGGAACCCAGGAAACAAGAATAGGATTTCAAATCTGAACTTGGCAAATTATCTGGATGCTCTTCACTCACTGATGGGTAACCAAAACCTACCTGCTTTTATGCATCTATTCTGATGAAAAGAATAACTCCAAACTCCTTTGTCTACAGAAGCTCAAGCTAAGAGGGAGCTGGTTTTTATTTTATTTCCATATAATTGTTCAAGACAGCTGGATTAGACCATTATTTTGTCCAACCTTATACCCAGTGTTCATCAATGCTTGAAAGTGGCTGGAGTAATAAAACTGGTAGCACATTTGCACACCAAAAGTGATTGAAAACTGGATGCCAGAAGCTACCTGCAGCCTGCAGTGCTGGCCTGGGAGGGATAAGGCCACTGCTGCTTTGCAGCTGGAATCTCTGCAATAGAGAGGGGAGAAGGGAAGCTGCATCCTCTGCTTAGGCACAAGCAAAAATACCAATTATTTTAGGGAAATACTTACTTCTAGTAGCAAAAACCTGCTTCTGAAAAAAAACTATTTTGAGTGATCTAAATGTAGTAAATTATTTGTTCATTGTTTTGTCCTGAGTGGGGGGCCTCTCAATGAAAATCAGACTAGATATAAATAGCAGCAAATTATTTGTTTGATTGTTTCAGCCATGCACAGTTTTAGATGTGTGTCTTCCATCCAGCATGGAAGCCCATGGTTTATTACGTGTTATCCCAAAAGTTTTCTAGCACAAGATTCCATCCCTGTTCCTTTTGCTTCACAGGTTTTGACTGCTAAAGAAGATTTTCAATGTTTATTTAGTAGTAGCATCATTTCAGGGTTTTTTAATCTGCTTTGATAATTCCACTTTTTTTTTCCCTCTAATTGCAGGTCTGTGTATTAAGAAAACTGCAAAAAAGCAATAAAAAGCCTTTGACAATTGTGTATGAGAATGCTACTGTCACAAGGAATATTTACCCAATTCAATGGAAGTTCCAAGCCTATAAAATTGTTATCTTCCATTCTTTCTTCAGAAAAAAACTAATTAAACCCCTCATTCATCACTTGTGCTAACATATGCCTATCTGAAAGTGGTGTATTAAGCAAAGAAGAGTTTAAATCTTGAGTAATGCACACAGGATTAATAGAAAAACCATCTAATTTAGATTAAAATGGCATTTTAAACTGAGCAGGTGTTAAAATACAAGATTACAGGAAAATGCAATGAGTCAGTCCCTGAATAAACCTAATCTGACTAGCTACATAATCTGATCAGAAAGCCCTAGGGAGACCGTGGTCTTAAGGAAAACAAAATGCTGGATTTGCTGGTTTTATTCCATGGGAATTTTAGGAATTCCCTAAGTGGGCTGATGAGAGGAATTTTGTTTTCAGTCTCTTTGCTTAAACAAATACTGTACTTATTTAGTTAGTCCATAAATAAATTGAGGCAAATAAGTTTGTGATCAAAGTTCTACAGCCTTTCAGGCTGCTGCATGGTTCATTCTTGTTGTCAATAGCTTGAAAATTATATTTGTGTGTGCTTGTGCAGCTGAAGCCTGGGCTACCGGCATTGGGTTGTAGAGGTGGAGTGCTCAAGGGTAGTGCAACAAATTCCTTCCCAGCAAGATAAAAATGCAAGATAAAATAGGCAATACTATAGCACCGAACTTGAACAACACACTGACCCTTGAAATGTTAACTGTATGGGTATTTTGATTTTCAGGTGTACACAGACTTCAGGAGAGGCAATTCATCTATAAACATCTCTGTAAAATCCTCAAGCCTGTCCATCCTCTGTAGAGCTTCTGTCCACAGCAGAGGCAAATGTTACAGCAGGGAAGGCTGTGACATGGAACTGCAGGGAGTCAGAATAACAGAAGAAAACTCAAGAGAAAGGAGGAAACCCTCTCCTCCCAAAGAATTGGGAGTGGTGATATCTCCCTTTTCCCCCCAGATGAAGGTCACAACCTGGTTATTCCCAACCCTGAGAGGGCAGAAAGAAAGCATGTACAAGAATTTCATTTTCGTGCTGTGTTTCATACATGCAGCCTGCACTTTTCCTAATAAAGAGTAGAGGGTCAGGATGAGTGGCAGGATTTGCTTTGCCAGAACACACCTGGCGCTATTTCAGCTTGGAGGTGTGCACAGTGCATGCTGTCTGGGAAGGCAGACACACACTGACCTGGGTATTCACACTTGAATTGCATCAGGATAAGCATTTACATAAATGAAAAGAGAGAAGGAAGTGTTATAAAGCTTTACCAGCACGTGAGGAAAGAACTGTTTTGCACAGATGTAAGGTAGAATGATTGGTGGAGTTGTGCTCCCTGGGATTTAAAGTCCAAGTATTCAAAAAAAACCCCACAAGTCTATATCCATGCATAAAGCATGAATGTGCAGGCTCACAAATACACAATTGTACTTTCATACAAGAAGTACTTTTGTAATTGTAAGGTATGCACAGTCAAAGCCCTGTTTATTCATGTGTCCTGAGAAAGGGACAAACTTCTGGGAAGCCAGGTGTCCCAAGGATGGGTGGTCAGCACTGTCCAAAAACCAGAGCTACCTTTGGTGGCTCAAGCTGAGCACTTCAATACTAAAGTACTTACATTTATTTTTTAAAGACCTTTTTAAATTTTCTTTTTTGTATGTCAAACCAACTACTCCCTGGAACAGGGGCACTTACACTGAGTGAATGTTAGGAAATAAAGTTTTACAGCAATTTTGGTTACTTCCCAGTACCTTTCTAACGTGACCTGGACAAAAGTTCAAGTTAAACATTACATGAAACTAAATATTACCTAATCCCAAAACATAATGCGAAAATTACAGTCTATAGTAGCACCTGATTTTCTATTGTTCAGATCCTAAATTAGGGGAGAAAAGTTAGAGCAGAAAGTTGCAAGATCAAAAAACTGGTATGAAATATTAGTGGTCACTAAGCAGATGGAGAATGGAACTCGGGAGCAGAGCACCTTGGGGCAGAAAGTCTCAGCTCTGTTCACTCAGATAGTGAATGTTATCATTGCCATTGAGACTCCAGAGCTATATAGAAATAGTAAATTTACTTTAGTTTGTCCTTACTGTATCACTGACTTTATTTATAAATTAAATGGCAGAATAAAACTGAGGTCCTAGATGCTCTTTCCTTGAGACTTCTTTTCCAATGCTCTTCTCAGCAGTTTTAACTAAATAAAATGTCTCAAATCCTGTCAGCTGGAATAATTCCCATGAAAATTCCTGTCCTCTTTTAAGATTTGCCTAAAGGAGTCTTTGCAAAATGGAGGAAAATCACTCCACCGTTCCTTGTGGTTATTATTCATAGAACTATTGATTATTACCTTCAGCATGCAGATACAGTGTATAAACAATGGCAACACATGAAAGGCAAACTGCAGAATCTGTTACTTCACCTCAATTACAAAGCAACAAATTTGAAACACAAATACCTGCTATGAAGAGTTACTGGAAAGGGAGAGAGACAGCCTCATTCATAAAAATACAAGCTGTTAAATGTTTCTCTCTTATTTACCCCCCTTCTTAAGAGCCTTCTTTCTCTGGATGCCAGCAGATGGGTTTGTCATCCAACTGGAGGGAGTAACTGGAAGGTCATAAGAGGAACGGCTGAGGTCACCTGGCTTGTTCAACCTGGAGAAGAGGAGACTGTGAAGGAAAACTTCATAGCAGTCTGCAGTTTCCTCACAAGAGGGAGCAAGGGAGCAGGCACTGCTCTCTGCTCTCTGTGACCAGGGACAGGACCTGAGGGAATGGCCTGAAGATGTATCAGGGGAGGTTTAGGCTGGAAAAGGTTTTTCCCCCAGAGGGTGGTTGGGCAGTGAGCAGGCTCCGCAGGGCAGTGGTCATGGCCTCAAGGCTGCCAGAGCTTAACAAGCATTTGGACAATGCTCTCAGGCACAGGGTAGGATTGTTGGAGTGTTCTGTGAAGGACCAGGAACTGGAAACAATGATCCTTGTGGCTCCCTGCCAACTCAGGATATTCTGTGACTCTATGAAATTTTCAGCCACAGCTTAGCAGAGGCACAACTGGCTCTCAACTGTTCAAACACTGTGTAGGCTTCTCCCCAATCCACATGGAAAACACCACCCTTGTGGCATGTTTTACATTCCTGTTTTCACAGCAGAGTACCTACTGAGTGCTAGAATTTCTGCTGCTAGCCTGGGACTAAGTCTCCTGAATGAGCAGTGAGATCATTTGCAAGAACTTATGAGCAGCTTCACAAGGAAATGCAGTAGAACTACACTAAAAAAATAATGAGGCAAAGTGCTGTGGAGCAAATAGAACCTAGTAGGGCATGTGTAAGGAACAAAGACTAAGATTTGCTGTGATTCAAATGAGAAGATATTTGCTGCTTTTTCAAAAATAATGCCTGGCCTTTACATGCTCCAGGTCCCTCTGCAAACAGCAAATACTGGTGCTCCACATGGCAAGGCAAGATGTATTCTATTACCATCTGTGTGGCAGTTGTCTTTTGTCAAGTGGGCAGTTTGCCTTATCTCTCTCTGAATGGTCACACCCACTCTTCCCTCAGGAGGGGACATCTGCTGATAACAGGCTATTGAATGTCACTGCATCAGTGATAAGAACTATAACATCCCATTGGGAGACATGAGCCCAGAGGGAGGAGCCAAGCATTCCTACCCAGATATAATCTGGAGGGACTGGAATAACTGCACGGCTTCTCCACTGGATTTCCCAGAGGAACAGCAGCTGCCTCTTCCACTACATCTTTGGAGGAGGACTACACCCTTTTCTACAAGATCTCTGCTCCAACAGAACCACACTTGACACTCCAGGAGCACTGCAGCCACATTTCCAATTGGATTGCCACCAACTCCCCACAGGGTGTCAGCTTGGGTTCTGACTCTGTCAGTGTTATTCTAGTGTACTGCATGTTTTATTTTATCCTTTTATTTTCTTCCCTATTAAAGGCCTGTTATTTCCTACTCCCATATTTTTGCCTGAGCCCCTTCATTTAAAGTTTATAGCAATTTAGAAGGGTGGGGAGAGTTTACATTCTCCATTTCAGAAGAAGCTCCTGCCTTCCTTAGCAGACTCCTGTCTTTCCAAACCGAGACACATGGTAAGAAAGTTTGGCCAAAGTCAGGAGTTAGGGTGCCGTTCAGGACCTGGACATCCAGGCATTTTCTTTTTCCTAGCAAACAGCACACCTGTCCAAGCCATGAGCTGACAGCTTTTCCTCAAGAAAGCTGTGGGAAATGGTGTCAACAGGTTTACTAAACCCCAAGTAGGCAACATCCACAGCCTTTCACTCACCCACCAAGCAGGTCATCTTGTCACAAAAGCCAGGTTGGTCAAGCCAGGTTGTCTTTCACAGACCCATGTTGGCTGGGCCTGATCCCTGGTTGTTCTGCACGTGCCAAATTATGGCACTCAGGATGGTCTGCTCCACCACCTTTCAAGGTACCTGAGACTTTTCTTCATTATTTGTCTCTAGATTTCCCCAGCCATCCAGTAAAGGAGATTCTCCTTAGCCCTCATTTTGTGGTTAATGTATTTATAGACACATTTGTTTTATTGTCTTTTACAGCAGTGGCCAGATGAGCTTCCGTTCTTCTTGTATTCTCTCTGCCTCATCACATCCTTGTTTATTTCCTGACTTGCTGCCCCTTTTTTCAAATATTATAAACTATCCTTTTTACTCTGAGTTCCAGACAAAGTTCCCCTCCCTCTGGCTCTTCTTTCAGCGTAGCCTGCTTCTGTGCCCTGAAGATTCCTTCTTACAGCACATCCAGCCTTCCTGGGTTCCTTTGCCCTTCAGGACAGCCTCCCGAGGTGTCAGAAAAATTTTGCAAAGCACTTTGCAAGGCTGTACAGTTAGCAAAACACCATTCAAACTGCTCTTGTGTTGTAGGAATAATAAATTGTGAAGGATCTCTGGCACTCAGTTGCAAACACTGACCTTTGTCTGCAGAGGCTTTGCCTTAGGCATCATAACAGCACAAACCATGTTAGGTCTTTGATCTCCTATGACATGCATCCAGTTCACCTGAGGCTTCCTGTTGATCCGAAGCTTTGGTCTCCGCACTCCCGAGACTCTGTTTTGGGGACAGAAGATTAAAAAAGGATAAGTTGAGCAATTCTGGGCTTTTTCAGGTATAGTCATGGGTGGAGTAGAGGTAGAAACCATTGCATGTATTTGTCCAGTCAAATCTGCATCAACAACATCAGGGTGCACAATGATAACTTGCATTGTGGTACTGGACTTTCCAGTTAACAGTGCACTCAATCCTTTCCTGATAGGTGCCTGAGCCTTGAGAGGGATCTTATGTACCTTTGAGGTACTTATGGTTACTGTGAGAGAGGTGACCACATCCAGAGACAGGGACAACACACATCCCAATGTCCATGTGGCAAAAGAGCAAGTTTATTCTTCAAACTCCTCTCTATAAAGGCGATCTGAAAAACCCAGTCTGGATAACTCATTGGTCTGATCTTTTACACTGCCCAGCTCCCAGACCAGTGAGATGTCTGCAGCTTAGGACAGAATGTCATTGGCTGAGGTTCCTATCACTCAACTCAAGGGCTGGTTTTATGGAGCCACCTCAGTATCTTATTTATAACTGAATTAATTGCCCAGTACAAATCAGCTTGTACAGTAACATAAAGGAACCTCCTGAACTCTCTCCTCTGTGCTGGTTGTATTTTCAGCAGACATCTAGTGTGTTAAAGCCCCCATGAAGACAAGGGTTGGCCATCATGAGACTTCTTGTCTGCCTCTTGGTCCTTGGTTGAGTGATCTGTACCCTGCTCCACCTGGATATCTGCCCTGTTGGCATTCCTCACAATTCTTACCCACCAGCCTTCAACACTTGCATCATCACTGTCAAGCTCTAGACAGTCAAAACACTCCCTCTCATACAGGACTACCCCATCACCTTTCATTCCTTCCCTGTCCCTTCTGAAGAGTTCACCACCAACCATTGCACCATTTCAGTGGTGCCAGTCATCCCACCATGTCTTTGTGATGGCACTATGCCATGGTTTTCTTCCTGCAACATGTCTTCCAGGATCTCCTGTTTGCTGCCCACGCTGCAGGCACTGGGGCAGATGCACTTCAGTTGGGTTATCAATCTCAATGCCTTTTTAGGGAGAGTTCCTGAGTGACCATTCTTAGGAGCTTCCATGGTTTCTAGCACATCAATAACACTTGCACTCTTGCTGCTCCATGGCAATGAAGTAGACATTTCCTATGTCTACGGAGATGGTAGCCCGAACAACCTCACTAACACACCATCCTTGAAACAGTGTCAAGCCACTCCCAGGCTTATCTCAAGTGACCTGGTTTTTATCCCCTTCCCCCTCCAAATCCAATTTAAGGCTCACTCAACATGCCCTGCTAACTCTTGCACAAAGATCCTTTTCCCTCTGAGACAGGTGTACCCAGTAGGCTTGTCACCAGTAGACTTGTCATCTAAACCATTCCATGATCAAAAACCTCAAAGTTCTGTTGGCTTAAAGCCAGGGATTTGTCTGTACAACTTTCCTGTTTCTCCCCTGAACAGTGGACCCCCCCCCAGACCAACCTCCCCCAGTTCTACTGCTGACCATGACAACCTGTGGTTGGGAATATGTCAGCTGGGGTCCAATGTCCTGGCCATGTCCCTTTCCAATTCCTTTTACACCCCCACCTTACTTGCTGGTGAGGCTGCATGAGGAGCAGCAGAGGCCTTGACACTCAGCATTGACTGAAACATCCCTGGTTTATCAATCCTCCCTCCAGCAAAAACCCAACCCACAGCCCCAGGGAAGAAATGGAACCTATTCTCTGCCCAAAACAGTATGTTCTCAATCCCTCATTCTAAATTATGTACATCCTGCTCAGGTCTTGTGGTATCCAATACCCACCATCCCCTTCCCACCCTAAGCTATCATGCACAGATATAATTCCCTTAGTCTATAGACCATTCCTATGAAGTGTCCATGAAATGCCCATAAAATGTCCGCAAACATTCACAAAGTCACAGAATCGCAAAATGGTTTGAGTTGGGAGGGACCTTAAAGCTCATCTTGTTCCAATCCCCTGCCATAAGCAGGGACACCTTCCACTGGACCAGGTTGCTCTCCAGGCCCATCCAACACTGAACATTTCTGGGGATGGAGCATATACTTGCTCTAGTTTGGCCTTCTGGATGGCTGCAGTGCCTCCAGGGGTGTACCTGCTCTGTTGGGGGTTTATGCATGGCCACACACTTTGAGGTGTTCCAGCATGACCTCCAGCACAGCCACACATGCTTCAAGGTGTACTTTCTCTGGCATGGTCTTCTTATCCTTGGACCACATTCCCTTCAGAGGTGCTCCTGCTGCACCATGGACATACCCACGGTCACCAATGCTTTGGGGTGTCCGGCTTCCACATGGACACATCCACAGGTCACAGTAAGCAGCAGCAGCCACTAACAATAACCAGACTAATTTACAGTAATCGAGCACAGGAGCCCTGTGGTTTTACTTTCCCTTTCTCCCTGGCCTCCAGGGCTGCCTGGCCAGGCTCTCCTCACAGCAGATCTTACTCCTCATCCCAGGTGATCCAAAGGGACAGCATCCCCACAGCTCCCCCAGCTGGATTCCTGCCCTCAGCCAGGGATAGTGCTGCTTGCACTTCCCCCACTATAGCAAATCCTTTGTGTGCCATCCCAGCAATCCCCAGGACCTCTCCTCCTTGGTGTCCCCAGCACCTCCAACTCTCATCCCCCCATCACCCATGGATATCCCCCTGTATCTGGCTGTTGTCCATCTCTCTGCTGGCTGATGGTGCCCCTCGTCTGGGGAGGACCCTGCTTCTGATGGACATGAATCCTGCCGGTATGTGGGGGTGATGGGTGAGCATGGCCAAGTCACTGCTGCAAAGGAGGAGTCAGAGGTGGCTGAGCACTAGTGATAAAGCCTTGGGGGTTCACTTTGGCTTGGAAGTGAGCCTGAGGGCCTAGCTGTAGGCTGCCACCCCAGTGTCATGAGCACTGACTCCATGGTCCCCCTGCTTTGTCTCTGACCCTCCAAGTGTGCTGTGCCCTGCTGTGCAGACCTGGGTACCCAGGGAGAGGTATTGCTGCTGACCTGAGCCACAGCCTACGCTCTGCTCAGCAGCATGAGGGGACTGGGGCAAGCACCACATCCCAGGTCAGGAGCACCCTGCACCCATGCACCAGCATGTCTCCCCAAGGACATGCTGCTGTGGGGTTGTTCCTGGTGGGTGACACAGCAGGGCAGGTCTCAGCTGGTGCTGGCATCAGTGTCTGGGTCAGTGCCAGGACGTGTGTAGAGGAGGGGCTTTGCCCTCTGATGTAGCTGGGGTGTTCCCCCCAGCCTGCCTGCATCTCTCAGCAGCCCTTCCCAGGCCATACCACCCTCCCTGACCTGACCTTGCTCCTGCTGCCACACCTCCCCAGCCACTTGTGGAGCAAACAGCTTCCCTGTCCTGCAGCATCTGGGGGCTTCCCTCAGGGTGGCTCTGCCCACCATGGAGCATCTGCTGGCCAGGATTCTGGCCATTGGTAGACCCCCGCACCAGCAAGACCTCATCAAGGAGATGGTGCTGGACATGGCTCCCACCTTCTTAGCTACTACTGTGTCTACGGGAGAATTCCAGTGCCACCAACCTATCTATGTTGGCTGCTCCACTTCCCTCAGGAAAATGGCAGTTGCCCTTCAACTAGGATGTCATCTTCATGATGGAGACCTGCTGCAAGTCCCTACCAAGGACTTGTTCCATGAGGACAAGGAGGTCCTCATCCCATTTTTCCAGATGTTTGAGGTAGCTGACATCACCCTCATTCAGCTCTGTTTCTGACTGTGCTCAGCACCTACAACTGTGATTTTGTGAGAGTTGATGTCCCTGCAGGACAGTCTCTCCTGCCACCGGGCCATGGGGACATGTGGCAGGGAATGGTCCTGTCCCACCAGCTCTGCCAAGACAGGGAGGTCTTGATCTTGGTCATGGTGGGGGGCGTGCCATGGGCACAGGGCTTTGCACATCTCCGAGCTGCTCTGACCTGTGGTTTGCAGTGGGGTCTGTGGGCAGCAAAGTGTGACACAGTGTGACACAGCATGGCACAAGATGGCACAGCATGGCAGGCCTGGGTGCCATGCTGTGCAGTGAGGAGTGTGCTACTGCCATCATGCCAGGCAAGGAGAAGGGGTCAGGGATGGAGCCACCTGCATCCCTGGGACAGTAGGACAGAATGGGGGACACAGAGACACCCACATAGGGTCCTGCATGGCAGGTATCTGTGCCCAGCTCAGCCTGGCCATAGTGCCACTGTCCCCAGGACACTGGCTGAGGCTGGCAGGGACCTTTGCTGAGTGGCAGCTGTGTGTGGGGTCTGTGAGAGGGGATGGAGGCTAGAATTAACCAGGCTAGGGGGTGCAGCAGGGCTGCCTTGGGCAGGTCCCTGACCAGTGGCTGCTCCAGTGCTTGCCTTCTCCTGGCTCCCAAGAGTCACTGTGGGACTGGGGCGTCCCCAGGGGACTCCTGTGGCTCCCTGGGCTGAGGGCAGCTCATGGGGGCTGCATCTGGAGGCTTCTCCATCCCCCCCATCTCTATTGTTCCCACATTCTGAGCATCTGAAGTGTGATGCCCAGAGCCCAGGGGTTGCTCAAGGGGTTTGGGATCTGTTCCCCAATCTGTCCCACAGCCCAGAGGGGTTGCAGCCCCCACAAGCACTTGGGGGAGCAAGAAGGAGGCTGGGACACAAGAGCAGGGGCCCTGCCAGCACAGGATGGTTATGGGGAATGCCCCATGGAGCTGCAGATGGAACTCGGCAATGCCATGCTGAGGAACAGCCCCAATCCCCCCAAGTGCATAGAGTGATGTGATGGCCCCATCTTCCACAATGCCTGCAACCCAGGGCTTCTCCACCCACCCTCTCCTCCAGGGCAGGGCACAGCCATTGTGCCAGGAATTCCCTGGGCAGAACTGAGACTGACTGTGGCTCTCCAGCCCTTTGCCAGGCGGGAAGGGGGTGAGGAATGGATCTTGCCCTTCACAGGCACCAGGGCTACCTCCTCTCCCTCCCTCATCATCCCATGGGTGCCCTCTACACCCCTGGGCAGCACCATCCCCAGGATGCAGGTGACACTGGGCAGCCTTGATGTACTTTAATAAACTCTGGGGTCCCAGGCCAGCTATGGGCAGAGCTGGTTCCAGCCCAGGCAGTGCTCCTGACTCAGCTTGGGGCACCAGGAGCCCCACTCACAGTGGGCCAGCACACGTGGGGCTATGCAGTCCCCAAAGGAGGTCACAGAAACGGGCCTGCCTGGGGGTATCACATGTTCATGCAATAGTGTGGGGCTGTCAGAGCAGGGAGCTGCACTGCAGGGTGCTCACCCAGCACGGGAGCTGCCCCCTGGCTCAGCCCAGGCCCCCACTGTTGCCAGTGACAGGGGCCGGTGCTTGGGACGGCCATTGCACCTCCCTGGTGTCGGCACCGAGGGGACTGAGCACCACGCAGGTGAAGTTGGTGTGCAGGTGCTGCTTGTTGAAGGAGCTGAAGTGCAGGTCACAGCGCAGGACCCACCCCGAGCCCAGTAGCTCCTCTCTGTGAAGCCAGCGGGGACCAGTCAGTGCCCACTCCGGATGGGCAGACCCAGGGGCCTTGTCCCAGCCTGGGCTGCCCCGCTGTCACTGCCCCTGTCCCCATACTCACTGCACTGTCCCCTCACGTACAGCCCCGTCGGGGTGCAGGCTCTCCACGAAGAAGCCGTTCTCCAGCCAGTAGAGCAGCGTCATCTCTGGAAGCTCACTCAGTGCTTCACATGACACAGTCACACTCTCACCTGCAGCCAGAGGGGGTATGAAGGTCAGGGGGGCTGCAAGGGCCCCCAGTGCCCCCCAGGCACAGCCACAGCCTCCCTCCCTAACTAAGGGGAATGTTCCCCCACCTCATCAGCACCCTGAAATCTTGGCTGTGGGTGGAGGATTCACCTTGTGTCTGCTGGAGGCTGACACAGGAGCTGAACCCCACTACAGCCTCCTCACCCCCAGGCCCTGCCATGGCCCCGAGGGTCTCTCACCTGGGCGAGGAAGCTCTGCTGGCATCCGCAGGGCGGTGATGCTGGGCGGCTGCAAGGCCATGGCACCTGGGGGAGCACAAATGGATGAGCTGGGAGGTTGAGAGTGACACCGAGACATTTTTGTAGTGGGTGAGGAGGCAGGGTCCCACAAAGGGACGGAGGCACTGCTCATCCCCAGACCCCTGAACAGGCCTCTTGAGAGGCACAGAGCCCAGGGCTGACCTTAGGCTCCCCAGTACCCTCCACTTACCTGTGCAGCAAGCAGCCAGGCTCCAGCAGAGCAGGAGGACCCAGGCAGGGCTTCCCAGGGGCTCTGCAGACAAAAACGGACCTCAGTGCTGGGCATGATCCTCATGGGCTTGGGATGGTTCCCCTAGCACTACCTGAGCCTGGGACGGTCCGTCCTCTCAGCATCCTCCCAGCTGGCCGTGGTAACCCAGCATGGTCCCCCCAGGACTCCGCAAGGCGACGATCCCGTACCCTCGCATCCGTCCAGCACCCCCCGAGTGTGGGATATCCCTTATCCCCCAGCATCCTCCTCCCGCGGTCACTCAGGTGGCGGCCGGTGCCCCCCAAGGCTGTCCGCCCAGCGCTCCGGTACATACGGACAGTCCGCGGTCGGGCACTGCGCTCGGGTCGGCTCGGCTCGGCACAGCGGCTCTTTATGAGGCGGCGCGGGGAGGAGCGTGAGGCAGCCGTGACTCACCGGGAGCCGCCCTCGGCCCCGGCCCCGCACGGAGACCCGCACCTGGATGCTGCTGTGTATCGATGTCCATGTCCCACAGCCCCCTGCACGTGTCTTGTGTCCCCAGCACTCCATGCCCCCGGTGCTCTGTGTCGCCTGCACCCGGGGATACACATCCCACATCCCGCGGGCACTCCCGTGATCGCACTCCATCGACCTCCCCCACACCCCTGGAGGAGCATCCATGGGCTCGACAGGGATGTGGGGCACAGCTGGGCCCCCCAGTGTCCAGCACATGGCACGCTGGCTGAGTATCACAGGATTCTGAACAAGCTGGTCTGCTCTCCGATGCTTTGTGATCAGGGACAAGGCAGGGTCTGCACTGGAAGAAGGTGGGTGAAGCCCCCAGGAGATGAGTACAATAGTGGCTGGCAGAGCCTGGGTGTTGGCCTCTGGGTGTCCCAGCTGGGGTAGGACAATTGCTTAGCAGATAGAAACCCCCAGGGCTTTAGTTCTTGGCTGCAAGAAGTCATCTCCTGTGTCCCACAGCAGTCCCCTACTCCTAGAGCCAGTCTCTTGACAGCAGATGTGGTTTTGACAACCCACTGGTTACAAAACCAGGGGCCAGGCCCCACACCCCACACCCCAGCAGCATCAAGGCTGGGAGCCAGTGCGGGTACAGCAACAGGGCAGAAGCAGCCACCTGAGTCACAGGCCCTGGCAAGTCCTGGAAAATAGTCCCTGAACTCCCAGTGAGGGTGACAGGAACAGGAGGGTTATCTTGGAGACCTTGCAAGTGCAATACATTCCCAGCCTCCTGCTGGGATACAGCCAGTGGCTGCATCCTCCTCACAGCAACCACGGGTGTCAAATGGGCAGTGATAAATCAGAGGCAGCTCCCAGGGCAGCACCCAGCTCCTCTGCCACCTTCCTGCTCCCACCAATACCAAGCAGCTTAGCTCTGGATGCTACAGGGTGAAAGAGGTGAGCACAGAATGCAGATGGGTGCTTGGTCATCATCCACCCAATATCCGTCCCCTAGGAGAGATGAAAGGAGAAACTTTCCATGGCCTGCAGCAAGGAAGGCAATCAAGAAAAACCCAGGGCCACATCTCCGTTTCCAGGGCTCTTATTTTGGTGTTTGGCACAACACTGCAATGTGGTTTCACTCAAAAGAAAACTCAGAGGATTCAGAACGATGCTGGGGTTCCCCAGGGGGAACACAGCCCACACAGACATGACAGCACTGTGGCCACTTCCTAAATCCCCTGAGCCAGGAGCTGCCTTGTAGCTCTCCACCAGACCCCAGTGCCCTCAGGGAATATGACTCAAGTCTCCACATGCCAAAATACCACCCCCGGCCCTGGGATTGGGGACTTTACCCCACCCACTACCAGAAACTGAGCCCAAGCCCACTTGCCCCAGCAGGACTTTGGCATGGCTCCTACCAGCAAGGCCACGGAGGATGTCATGGAGTAATGCTGGGGCAGGGAAACGCCAGCACCGGCCCAATCTTCTTCACTCTATCCCTTTTATTCCAGTGCCAAGAGCAATACGCAGTGAGGGCGGACCTGCGCCCGGGGCAGGGGCACCTGCTCTTGGCTGCTCCTGAAGTACCGTCATCATCACCCACAAGGGCACAGAGAGGAGCAGCACTGGCCCCACCCCATGCCTTGGCTGACCCCCCCTGAGCAGTCAGGGGACACTGCTGGACTCCAGGGAGGAACACAGAAAATTTGGGAGCATATAAAAGGGTTCCCCGAGGCAGAGCCCACCATCACCATGCTGGAGAGCAGCCTGGTTCCTGCTGGCATACCCGGGGTGCCCAGAGCGGACCTGGCAGCCGGGGATAGCCAGGTGACCTTCATCCCTTCTTTCAGGGCACTGGGCTCCAGCCTGTTCTCTGCAGCCCCCATATCCCATCCTCGCTGCCAGCAAGGCTGCTCCAGGGTGCTGGCATTGGGAGCTGACAAAGCCTTGGCCCTTCTCTGTCGTGGCCTCCCCTGACAGAGTGGCAGGAAGGAGCTGGAGAACAGCCCCCAGCCCAAAGCTCAGCCCAGCAGAGCACTGCAAAGGGCTGGACAGGGACAGGGAAAGGGGACAAGCGTCTCTTTTTGGCTGCAATAGAAAGTTTTAAATATGCTCATTAAAATAATTGCTTTTTAAAAAAATCCTCCCCTAGCCCCAGCAGGAGGGGCCCTGATGTTGCTGTCCTTGGTGGTGGCCAAGGTCCTGAGAGGTGACGGAGCAAAGCCAGCATCCCTGGTGGCAATGTCCTCTCGTGGTTCCGCGGCTCCCCACCGCCTGCCCTTACTCCAGCCCCAGGATGTAGTTGATTCCCTGGACCAGTCCGATGATCACCGGCTGCCAGGCCACCAAGTAGCGCAGCCAGTCCAGCAGCTGCCCGTACATGACGTGAGGCCTCTCCCAGCTGGGCAGGAAGGAGTTAAAGAGTCCTGGGGAAATGCATGAGAGAAGCACAGCCCACCCAGAAGCCACCCAAAGGTGTCCCAAAGCAGGGAGAGAGAAGCCAGGTCCCAAAGGGATGGACAAGCACCCAGGAAGGACAGACACGAGGCTTGCCCTGGGCTTTGCAGGATCTCTGCCAGAGCCACATGCTGCAGAGACCTACTGAGGGTGCCAGACAAGCCTCTCACCCCTTGTGTGCTCTACCCACTGCTTCCCTTCCCAAAGTGCTGGCTCCCAGCAGGAGAAAGGATACGGATTACTGAACATCCTCTTGAGATCCACCTTCTCTTTGCAGTATGGACATGTCTGCTTCTTCCCGACAATGCACCAGCCCCGGATGCAGAACTCATGGAACCTGGGGAGTGGCACGTTAAGGGGAACTGGAAGAAGAGGGGGATACATGGCTCAGTGTGGAGGAAACCACCAAGGCCAAGGAAGTCCCCCCAGAGCCATGGAAACATCCCCCTGTGTGAGGATGGTGCATTGCAAAACCACAGCCTTTTCTAGAAGGTGCAGCAGCTTCCAGGACAGTGGAAGGAGCTCATGGGGCAGCAGAACAGAGCCAGGGTGGCAGCACGAAGGCCTTGACCCATGCATGGGCACCAGGGAGACTGAAACTCTTTGGTGATGGTGCCCAAGCACTGAGAAGGTTTGGACAGCTTGGGAGAGCTCTGTGACCTGCATGCATTTTGGAAGCCTTCTTCAAAGGCTTCCTGGAATTAACATTTAAGGAATTTCTCTGTAAGTAAGGGTGTGACTTACAAGTGCTTGCTATGTTCTGTCAAAAAGGATTTGCACAACCTGAGCACAGCCTGAAGAAGTTACAGGAAAATATGAGGTGGCAGCAGATGACTCTGCCACGTACAGGGGTTTCACAGAGCAAACAGACTTTTCCCAGAATATCTCTGCTGCTCAAAACATGGAAGAATGCCAGGCAGAAGCAACAGAAGTCACTTCCTTGTCAGCCCTGGAGCCACTGATGCAGGAGTGCCCAGCCAGCCGTCACCCTTGAGGACCACCAGGAGCACCAACCAGCTCCTCTGGCAGCCACGCCACCCCAAGCTGCTGCAGTCCCAGGCCCTTGCACAGTGTCAGCCATAAATCTCAACAGCTCCCAAGAGTTAAATTTAAGCTCCTGTTCTACCAGCATGACCTTTGCTCAAGCCCAGTTTGGAAACCACCTCGCAGGCAGCAACACACAGTGCCAGAGGACATCCCATGTGTACACTGAGTCACCACAGGGAAAAAACCCCAACGTGACACCTCAGCTGGGACTGAGCACCAACTAGGACTTCCAGTTCCAAAACCCACTTCTCATCAATCAGCTGACAGGAAGGGCTGAGTGAGTCCAGCGTGTTGAAAACCCTGGAGGAGTTCTGGAGAAAGAGGAAGCTGCTGGGCTGTGGCCAGAGCAGGTAGCAATCAGCAGTGCTGGACAGAGGGCTGTTTTCAGAGGGGGCCAGCAGTGTTTCCCCACAGTTCTTTCTTACAGACACTTGGGACCCACTACAATGTGTCTCTGATGAGAAACCAGTGTGGCATGGAGCAGGGATGCCTTGTGTCCTGACCTCACACCATCACCTCCACCAGAATATCTGTTGGGGGCACTGCCAGGTGGATGGGTCACAGCAGATTTGTCAAAAGCAGGTAAAAACTGAGGTGCAGCTCCATGACTCAGCAGAGGGAGCTGGGGATGTGAAGGAAGAGAAAACAACCACTTGGGAGTGGCAACGAAGTAATTTCAGGGACACCTCTTCCCATGCCAAGTCAGTGATGACACAGGCACAGATCACATGCAAAGTCAGCCGGACAGCCCCGCTTCCCAGAACAGGCATTTCTCCGCCCAGCACAGGAGAAGCCACGGGGCAGGAGCTCCCTGCTGCCCACCCCAGCGTGGGGCTAGTGAGGCAGGGGGCTGGCACCTGCAGAGAAGGATACACGTGGTTGCAGGAGAGGCGGTAGGTGTTCTCAATGATCCCTTCCTCGTTGACATCCACGAAGATCTGCTGGCCGCAGACGGCGCAGACGCTGTCAGAGAGGTGCTTGGTGGGCATCCCTGAGGCGCTGTAGAACTGAGCGAGGGCAGAGCAGAGGGAGAGCAGTGACAGTGGCACGCCACGTGTCCCACACCCGCAGTGGCACAGCTAAGCTCTAAGGAGGGCTGGGCTCAGCACCTCAGGAGTCCAGCTTTGGCCTTTGGGGCTTAAAAACCTTGTTACAGGTCTGGCTGTGGGAAACAACTACAACAGGACAGCTGCTCAGTGATGCAGCGGCCTGTCACACCCCAGCCCCATGCATCCCCTCCCCGTGTCGAGGGGCCAGCCCTCTCTGCTCCCCAACAGCCAGGGGGGTTCTCAGCTGCCTGCCAGGGTGAGACTGGGGAGAGAGCAGGACAAGTTGGAGGTCACAGCTTTGACCCAAAATAACAACCTTGGGCTGCCAGTCAGATACAGCCCCCACCTCCAGCCCTGCAGGTGCCTGACACTCATTCAGCAAAGCACAGAGAGAGCAGCCACCCCTCTCCATTTCCCAGCCTCATGGCTGACATACCACACAGAGTGCAGTCACAAAACCATGTCCCACACACTCCAGCTGCAAGGGACCCCCCAGGATTATTGAGTCAAACTCCCTGCTCCACTGCACTACCGAAAACTAAACCATATGACTAAGGGACTTTCTGAACTTTGGCAGACTTGATGACATGATCACGTCTCTGGAGAGCCTGTTCCCTCTGGATAAATAACCTTTACCCCATGTCCAACCTGCACCCCCTCAATTCAGTTTCACTCCCTTTCCTCATGGCTGGACAACCACCTCCCCTGGCCACACATTGATGCTGTGCCTGATGCACCCCAGGACACAGCTGGCCCCTTTTAGCTGTCAGGATACACTACTGGCTCATATTCAACTTGGTGTCAACCCTAATCCTTTCCAAAGAACTCTCTCTGGACTCTTGTTCCCAAATTTGTACCTATAACCAGTATTACACCATCCCAGGTGGGGATTCTGGCCCCTGTTAAATTTCACACAGTTGAAGCTTGCCCAGCTCTCTCTCCAAGGAGGTCTCAGCTCCTCCTGGTTTAGTACCCTCAGCAAAACATGCCTCTGGCAGAGCCCTGGCACAGCTTTGCTCTGAACATCCAACAGAGCCCTGAGAATCTAAGAGACACCCTGTGCCAAGGTGTCCTAGAGTGGCAGGCCAGGGGCTGGAGCAGAACCTCAAGGAGCAGCAGCAGAAAGCTCAGAAAGATGGAAACACAAACTCCAAGACCCTAAACAGCTGCTGAAAAGAGGAAACATGACCTACTCCACTGGTGTCCTAGGTCAGATTTTAGGCCACTGCATCCTCTGTCCACAGGACAGCTAAAGTTGCAGCAGGTACAAGGAAGGAAGCCCACAGTGTGAATCCTTCCCTGGTGGCTGCAGGTCACAAGTTAATGCAAGCACAGTGGTGTCAGAAATGGGAGTGTTCATTGGAGATTTTAAATGCCCAGGAAAAGAAATATTTGTCAGTCCAGCAGGGCTAAACAGATCATTCC